GGGCGTCGACGGGGGTGGAGGCGAGGAGGGCGAGGGCTGTGGGGGAGGTCATCGCTGCGGGTGCTGATGCTGGTATTACTGGTGTGTGGGCGCGTTGCTGTTGGTGTTGAGATATGGGTAAGAGTGAGAGTGTGCATGAGAACTCATCAATCGAGGTGAGTGAGCCGCGCGCTCTCACTTATAGTCCACCGCAGGCTCACAACCTCCACCGCACCAGCGCACGCATCCCAGATCCCACGCTAATAATGGCCTCGAAATACGAGCCACGCGACGTCGACCGACCAAACGTCTCCATCATGACGGTGATGACGACTCGCAAATGCCACAAGTCGGGGGGAGTATTCGTCCGCCCTCGAAGTTGCGCCTGCAGTTACTCACTCTGCCGTGTCGCGAGAAAAGCATGTCCGGGCAGCTCGTATATCCAGCGTTGAGAGGCGGCTAAGGCAGGTGCCTACGTGTGTTCCTGCAGGCACTAACACGGCAATTGGCTCGCGGCGGCGACCGCGGAGGTGGCCGGGGCCAGCCAGCTTGCGCATCCCGACCGCTGCCCTGACCGTCGCGCAGACTTCGATAACCGACTGATACAAAGTTCCCGTCCCATGTCGCCACGATTGCGACAAATACGGCTCAATTAACGGACCGGCGCTGTCTCCGAGCATACTTTCCCTCGACCCCAATTTTTTTTTTGTTTTCGTGATGCCGGCGTTGTTCGGGTGCCCGGCAAACGTCCCTTCCGGTGCGACAGTTCAAAGGCTCGGGTTTCTGTTTGTTAGCGGGCGCGCGGCAGGGGCCGAGCCTCGGAGCCTGGGGAGAGTCGGCGCCGTTGACGGTTTGGGGGGGGGGGGAGAGGCGTGCAATGGGGAGTTGCGCCGGCGGGGCCGGTCCCGTGCGGGGGACCTCGGCATGTCTGGCCCAAGGGTGGTTATAGCGCTGGGGACGGGAGCTTCCATCCATTCGACGCAGCAATTAAGAAACATAACCTCGAAATCGCAACCAAAACGTTTTGTCTGCCGGGGCCACGTTCACCTTCTCAACGTTGTACGAAGCACAAGTTGGGCGTCGCTCATAGCTGCAGCCGCGTTCGCATCCATCCTCCTCGAGCCGCCGCCAAGTCTCGTCTGTTCACGATACCGCCCACCGGCGGTTTAACGGAAAGAAGTGAGCAGGAAGTCTAGACTCTAGAGACAACCGTCGCCATGGCAGCAGACCGCGTCGCGCAGCTCGCCACGCACCTCAACTACCCGCGCGGCATGCTCGCCGGGCAGGTGGCCATTGTCACGGGCAGCGGGCAGGGCATCGGCGCCGAGACGGCGCGCCTGTTTGCCAACGAGGGCGCCAAGGTGGTCGTCGCCGACATTGACGCCGGTAAGTTGACATTTGTGATTCTTGAAGCTCGCTCGCCTCACCCACTTACACCATCTTTGCACCGCAACCCGCCCACATCCACCACCACCACCCATCATCCATTGCCCACCACCGTTGCGCTTGGTATATGAGAGGGATGTCAAAAAGTCCTCGCTCCTTGCTGACATGTCGCCCCCCTCACAGCCAAGGCCCAAGCCGTCGTCGACAGCATCACCTCCTCCGGCGGCCAAGCCATCGCCGTCCCCGGTGACATCTTGCAAGCCAGCTACATCGACACGCTCGTCTCGCGCGCCGCCGCCTTCGGGTCCGGCAAGATCCACATCATCGTCAACAACGCGGGCTACACGTGGGACGGCGTCATCCACAAGACCAGCGACGCCCAGTGGGAGACCATCATCGCGCTGCACTGCACCGCGCCCTTCCGCCTCGTCCGCGCCGCGGCGCCCTACTTCCGCGTCCGCGACGGCGAGCCCCGCTCCATCGTCAACATCTCCAGCACGAGCGGCATCCACGGCAACGCGGGCCAGATCAACTACGCGCTCGCGAAAGCGGGAGTCACGGGCATGACCAAGACGATTGCCAAGGAGTGGGGGCCGCAGTTTGGCGTGCGGTGCAATGCCGTGGCGTTTGGGCACATTGAGACGAGGCTCACGGCCGCCAAGGAGGATGGCGCGTTTGTGCTGGGGCCGGGGGGCGAGAAGATCCCGCTGGGGATTCCGCAGAAGCAGCGCGATGCGAAGAAGGGAAGCGCCGCTGAAGATAAGGCAAAGGTCGCCGCGCCCAAGTTTCCGGATATTCCTCTGGGCCGGCCCGGGTCCGCGACCGAGGCGGCGGGGAGTATCCTGGCGGTGGCGAGCCCGCTGTTTGCGTACGTCACGGGGCAGACGATAATGGTGACGGGCGGGCGGAACATGTAGAGGGGAGGGGGAGGCGTTGTTGGTGTGTGTACTTTGTATGTGTGTGCAAATAAGTACCTGGATAGCCGGTTCGTGCAAAATGGTGTCTTGTGTGGCATCGTGTGACTTTGTCTGCGCGACTCTCTCAGGTAGGTACGTGAATGTGAATGTACATGCCCAGTCAGCTAGCCAGTTTGTCTAACGGCGTCTTGCATTGCGTCTCGTGTCCTTGTGTTCTCGCAGTGTGTGGTATTAGTTTTGCCCCTCTGGGCCATGCATGTATTACATATGGCCATGCCATCATCCCCCTCCCTTTTCCAACTCTCTACACCTTGAGCCACAGCGAAAACACACCCTTGGCATACTCGACAATCTCGTCGCCGCCCAGCTTGCTCTCGCCATACAACCGATCGACAAACGAAATGGGCACCTCTGCGACGCTGCACCCCATGGCCTTGGCGCGCACAATCATCTCCATCTGGAAGGTATACCCCTTGCTCTCGGTGCTGGCAATGACGCGCTCCAGCACGCTCTTCTTGTAGAGCCTGAAGCTGCCCGTCACGTCGCTGACGCCCGGGCGCAGCACCGTGTCGGCGAAGAGGTTCGCGCCGCGGCTCACAAACTTGCGCTTCAGGTCCCAGCCGAAGACGCCGCCGTCGCCGGCGTAGCGCGTGCCCGTCACGATGTCGTACCCGCCCGCCTGCTGCAGCGCCACCATCTGCGGGATGAACTTGGGGTGGTGGCTGAAGTCGGCGTCCATGATGATGACGAAGTTGCCCGTCGCGAACTGCAGTCCGTGCACGTACGCGGTGCCCAGGCCGAGCTTGCCCGCGCGTGGCTTGAGCACCACGTGCGGCTCGTAGGCCTTGACGAGCTGGAGGGCGACTTCTTGCGTGCCGTCGGGGGAGCCGTCGTCGACGATGATGAGTTCCCAGTCGAGGTTGCTAGAGTCAGGAGGGGGGTTCGCGTCAGTACAACAGTCCATCACTCTCTTGTCTCTCTCCCGCTCCTCGTGCCGTGTGGAGGCGGTAGAACCACGGCAGCGGTTCCAACGTACCTCTCGGTAAAGGTGCGGTTCAGCAGCCACGCCATGATGGGCAGGTTGCGCCGCTCATTGTACGTCGGCAGGATGACCGAGTACTTGTCCTTGGTGGCCTTGGGCGCCATTGCGGCTTGTGCGGCAGGCTCTTGTATTCTCGTCGTCAATGGTATGTGCGGAGCTCGGGGCGGACTCAATCGAGCGAGATGCGCGGGGGTCGAGAGGGCGGCAAGGAGTGTCGAAAGTTGGCTTCGCCGGCGTGTGGATGGGCTCGGTCGTCGATGGGCGCGGTGGTGGTGGTCGCTCGCTTCGTCGACGTGGAGTCTGTCTGGCCAGCTGGCGGATCCGCGTTCGTCCAAGGCCAGCTCGCGTTCTAGCAGAGCTTGGGCGATGACTAAGAATTTGGATGCCCCTGAACCAGCGGCGCGGCCACGGTGCCCACTGGCGGACACAGCACAACTAGGTGCCCCTGGGCCTCTTCAGGGAAAACGTGGCGGCGGCTAGTGAGCGGGCCACAGAGACCCACGCCTATTCTTGCACCCAAGCTCCAGCCTCCTCCATCCATCCCATCCATCTCTCGTCTCTCTCGTCGTCGTCCTCACCTCCAGCTCGCATCCGCCCCACACTAAACGACCATCGCCATGGGGCCTCATCACCCTCCCTCTCCAGCCCCGGCGCGCGTCGTCAGATGAGCCGCTCGGCTCCAGCGCCGCGACACATGGCAGCAGCAGCAGCACAGCCCGGTTGCGGGGGCCGTTCCCCCCAGTCCCGCTTGTAGTTTCGCTACCTTATTCAATGCGTACCTGGCTTCCAAGAAGCAAGGGCGCGCTCTGCCCTCGGTTGTCGCTCGGCACGGCGTCATCGGGCGACGGGGATCGCGTGGCCCAATGTCGGGTTACATCGCCAATTGCGCCGGAGGCATGTAAGACGGATACCGCACGCGTGTGCTGCAGAGGCGCAGCGTCTCCCGAACCGAGTTTGGGACAATGCCGATGGCCGTGAGTGAGACGCATGCACGTACATAAGTTATAACCGCACCTCGTCCGTTGCTGTGCATGTTTGTCCGCCTTCACCATCATCACCACCGCTGCTTCAACCAACCTCACCATGCGCCTCCTGCCGCTCGCCTGCCTCCTCTCCGCCGCCCAGGCCGTCGCCTTCGTGCCCGGCCCGCCCGGCCCCTACGGCGTCGCCTCGCGCGTCCTCACCCTCACCGACGACGCCCGGCAAGACCCATACTCGCCCCAGGACAAGCGCCGCATCATCGTCTCGGCCTTTCTCCCCGTCGACAAGTCCACCCATGCGTGCCAGCTGGACGCCGCGGCTCTCATGCCGCCGCTGACGGCCTCCGTGTACAACTCGCAGGCCGTCGAGGGCGGGCTGCCCAACGACACGTTTTCCCGCTTCGAGATCCAGTACTGCAAGCTCCCTGCGAAGTCGCGAGGCAGCAAGGATAGTTGTCGCGGGGGCAAGTTTCCCGTCGTGCTCTTCTCGCCTGGGCTTGGCGCCACGCGGCTTGCGTACTCGGCCGGTGCGCGCGCCCTTGCTAGCCACGGCAGGGTCGTCATCACGGTTGATCATCCGCACGACGCGGCTGTCGTTGAGTTTCCTGATGGGTCGGTCTTTTATGGCGCGGTGAACCAGACGGATCCAGACGAGACGCTCAAGGCCCTCAACGTGGGTGCCCCTGTCCTGGCCTGCTCAGACACCAGCAGTGGTAGTGACTAACATGAACTGAACAGACTCGCGTCGCCGACATTTCGTTCCTCGTCGAACAGCTCCACCGACAGTCCATCGTCAAGGCCCTAACCAAGGACTACCCCGGCCGTCTAGACGTCGACAAGCTGTTCCTCTACGGGCACTCCCTCGGCGGCAACACCGCCGCCAACGCCATGCTACGTGACCGACGCATCCGCGCAGGCGCCAACATCGACGGGCACGTATACGGCTCCGTCGTCAGCAAGGGCCTCTCCGCGCCGTTCCTGCTCGTCGGCGTGCCGGGCCACGACGCCATCCCCGGCAGCAACTGGCCAGAGTTGTACGACCGGCTGCGCGGGGCCAAGATGGACCTCGCGGTCGCGCAGACGGAGCACCTCGCGTTCACCGACGTGCCCCTGCTGGCGACGCAGATGACGATCCCACCTGAGAACCGCCCGCTGGTGGAAAAGTTCATTGGCAAGATTGACGGCGCGGTGCTGCAGGATGTGATGCTCGAGGTGCTGAATGGGCTGGTGGAGCTGGGCGTCAGGGGGAAGAGCGAGAGGCTGCGCGGGATTGGGGACAAGTTTAAGGAGGTGACCGTTGTCAAGAGCCGGCTTCCAAGACGGTGATGGCTGAGAACAAAGATGCCAGACACACGATTCTTCGCTTCGTAGAAATGTTTCGAGGGCGCTATGTAACCCCGAAATATCTTCTCCTGTCTTGAGTAGATAGAGCTTATGCCATGTATTTACCTAACCATCAGCTCTTGGCAACCTCACGAGCCCCGACCGGTACCACATTCCCTGTCTTGCGACTCTTGTCCCTCTGCCTCCTCGCCTCCCACTCCCCCTCGGTCATGCCAAACTCAATCTCGTCGTGCCACGCCCTGTCCATCCAGATGGTCTCGCGGCGGCAGCCCTCGCGCACGAACCCCATGCTCTCGTACAGCGCGCACGCCCGCGCGTTGTAGCTCGCCGCCGTGATGGCCACCGTGTGCAGCCCCGCGTGCCGGAACGCCCAGTCGAGCATCCAGTCGATGGCCTCGCGGCCGTACCCCCGCCCCTGGTGGGCCGCCGCGAGGCTCACCCCGATGCTCGACCCGCGGTGGTGCGCCGTCGCGGGGTTGCCGCCGCCCCAGCCGAGGCAGATGACGCCGATGATGGTGGGCTTCTGCTGGTGCTGCTGCTGCGATGGCGATACTCGTTGTTGTTGCTCTTCTTGTTGTTGTGACTGCTGTTGTTGTGATTGCTGTTCTTGTTGCTGTTGCTGGCGCCGCTCCTCCTCCTCCTCGGGCAGCAGGCAAATCATGACGCCGAGCGTCGACGCCGCCACGCCGGCCGCGTAGTCCTCGAACTGGCGGCGGCCCTTGGGCTGCAGCACGGTGGGCGCGGCGTGCGCCTGCGTGACGGGGTCCTGCTCGATGAGGGGCACGAAGGCGAGGAAGCGCTCGTCGGAGGCGTCGGCGCGCACGTACTGCAGCCGCGCGGAGCGGTACGCGTCGACGAGGTGGTCGGCGGGGTCGTAGGGTCTTGACATGGCTTTTGTTTGGCTTTGTGGTGCGTGGCTGGGGGAGGTGAGGCGAGTGATGGGTTGGACGCGCTGTGGTGCTGTGGTGGTGATGCGGTGTTGATATGAAGTGAAGTTGATGATGGCTGGTGGGGAGAGGCTGAGCTCAGTCGTGATATGAGATGGGAGACTAAGTGAGTGGGTGAGCTGCTGGAGCTATGAGACATGCACCCTGGGTCAATTGCGCTTCTATGTCTAGTGCTTTACATGGCTATATACGCGTGTTTATATGTAAAGTCGATATCCATCGCTCATGTATTCAATTGCTCCCATTCTCCTCCAATTGACCCGCCAGAGGCCTCGAACGAAATCATCTCCCCGATACGACACATCAACGGCCCCGCCGCACGCCGCCGGTTGACTCACCGGAGCTGCGCTCCAGCCTCTCACCCTCCACTCGTTCTTTTCTACAGTGGCGTTTCAGGGTCCGGGCCAGGGCTGTGTTGTGGGGGGCTTGGGGGCGTCGGCTTTAGGCGCCCCGGGAATTCGGCTCGCGCTGGTGCTGCTGGCAGGGGGGGGTTAGTGGTGGTGTCGGCGGACGGACGGGCAGTCTTGCGAAATATGGCAATGTCCACGAGCTCGTAAAACAGGGCTCTCGGAAGACGGTCCAGGGAAACAGGAATCTGCTGGCATGGGATTTTCTAGAATTGTTGGGGTGGAGTGAGTGCAGTTATGCTGCCCGGCGACTTGGGCTTGACTTGTGGATGGAGATGAGACGAGGTCTGGCAACAGTCCCAGGTGATGATACGCACAGTCGGTAGGCAGCTTTCATGTGCGGCGGATGCAGGGAGCGTTGAAGCGTGGCTAAGCCATTGACGACTGCGTCAGAGCTCTGAAAGAGTTGAGAAACTAATTATCTATCTAGCTGGTACATTGCCTGTATAGTGAGTAAGATGAGTTATTGCGCAACCCTCTATGTCGACATTCCCTGCACCGTTGAAACGCCTGGCCAAGTCGTCCGATCCCATGATTCCTATTAAAGCCCGTCTCACATCTTCTGCCCTCTCACGACCACTCCCGCAGCGCCTCCTCCGTCCACTCCCACAACTCATCCGCCAGCTTCCCATCCCTCGAATCCCCCGTCGTCCTCTTCGCCGCCACCCCCACGGGCTCATAATACGTCCCCGTCCTCACCATGCCCTCCCCCTCGCCCCTCGGCGCCGTCGCCGCCCACAGCTGCGAGTGCGCCCCCTCCTCCACGCCCAGCGTCTGCCCCATCGCGATAAAAAACACGGGCAGCTTCGTGAAGAACGGTACCCCCGTGAACAGATCCGTAAAGATGTACCCCGGGTGCACCGACGCGCACAGCACCTCCGGGTGCCGCGCCGCCAGCGCGTCCGCGTACAGCATGTTGGCCAGCTTGCTCTGCCCGTAGCGCGACCAGCGGTGGCCCGGCACCAGCGCGTTCCCCAGTGTCTCCTGCGCGGTGCGCAGGCTCGCGAAGTCGATGCCCCCGCGCGGCGCCTGGCGGTACGCCTGCGACGTGAGGTTGACGATGCGCACGTCCGCGCCGGGCAGGCCGGCGGTGGCGCGCAGGCGCGGGAGCAGGAGCTTGATGAGCAGCGCGTGGCCGAGGTGGTTCGTCTGCCACTCGACCTGGTAGCCGTCGGTGGTGACGCCCGGGTCGACGCACATGACGCCCGCGTTGCAGACCAGCACGTCGAGGCGCTGCGCCGGCACGTCGGGCAGGGCGAGGAACGCGCGCGCCGCGGCCTGCACGGACGCGAGGCTCGCCATGTCGCAGCGTATGAAGCTGATGGACAGGCCGGCGTGGCGGTCGCGCAGCCGCGACGTGATGGCGGTGGCCTTGTCGGCGTTGCGGCCCATGAAGCAGATGTGCGCGGGCGAGTGCGCGGCGAGGGCCTCGACGGTCTGCAGGCCGAGCCCGGCGGTGCCTGTACCTCCCAGTTAGTGTCTTGTTTGTGAGCATCGACGAGGGGGCCTGCTGGGCGCGACTTGCCGCCGGTGACGAGAAAGACCTTGCCGCTGAGGTCGGGAATGTCCCGCGCCGGATCGTATCCTGTAGGCATCGTGTGCGGTTGTGCGTAGGCGGCGATTTGTGTATTAGAGGGCTGCAGAGTCTGTTCGCAATGTTGGTGATGAAGGCAAGGTGAGTTGTTTGTTGTTGATTGCAAGGTCAATTAATTGGTTTCAAGAGCGAATCGATTGAACGCCTGTAGTCGTGTCTCAGGCCGCAGACCACGGGAAGCGCGCCTAATATATATATCCCCCCGTCGCCAGCAGCCCAGTCCATAAAAACGTAGGCAGCATTGGAAATCGCACGACGCCATCGTCATCGAAGCAAAACCTCCGTCGGCATTTACACCTGGGCTTCTGCAGAAGATCGCCGGCGCCGCCACCACTGGGCCACTGCGCGGGCACCCAATGGCGCCGCCAAACAGACGGCCAATGGCGCCGCCGCCCACGGCGGATGCGAATGCGAAGGGCGGCCCGGAGCAACTGAAGCCGCCTCTGCCTTCAGGTGCTTTGTCACCGTCGGCGCCCCGGGCCCGTTGGAGCCCGACAGCCGCACCCTCCGTTCCGGCTGATGCCGGGTGTTGGGCCGGCGCACTGCATGGAAGGTTGGCTAACAAAATATGGTGTTAATTTGCCTGCGACGGGATAGCGGTCGGAATAGCGCTTGCACGTCCGGGAGGCCAACACATTGGTATGCATTCATTCACATATGCTGCTTGCCGCAACTCATACCTTTTGTCAAAACGTCAACTTTTTCTTCGGCGATTAAAGCATACTAGAATACTACGATTTATCCCTCAGCACACCTCGCGAATGAGTCCACGACGGTAGCAAATACACACCCGTCCTCTGAGGCAACCCCGGCTGCCCAAGCCACATCCACCGCGCTTTGCAATATAAACTGAACTGAAATGAAGTCGCTCCTCGCCGGTCCAGCAGCCAGTCACTTCACCCCAGGCGCCTAGCCCCCTCTACACTGAGCTGGCCGCACCGCGCTCGCTTGGGCCTGCGCCACGCGGAAATACTCATCAATGTTGGGCAGCACGTTCCTGCATCGGTTCTGGTTCGTCGACTGCACGATGGTGGCGACTTGGCCAGGGCTCAAGTTGTTGCCGTTCTGGGCAAGCCTCTGCAGCGAGTCGACGACCCGTTGGAACGCGCCGCCTTCTAGCACAGAGTTGGCCGCCTGCAGAGCGTCCGGCCTGCAGTTCTGGTCTATGGTGGCCTTGGACGTGAGCTCCTCGTTCTCGGCCTGGAGCGCCCGGGCTGCGCGGTTGGCGACTTGACCCTGTGGCAGGTTAGCCGCCTCGGAGAGAAAGTCGGACACGATGGATGTTCTCTGCTGCCAGTTTCTCACGGCTCGCTGCACCGCCTGCAGGTTCGTGCATGCCGCCCCGTTGCCGCCGTTCAGGAGCTGGCCATCCAAAGGCTGGCCGTTCCGCAGCTGACCGTTCTGGGTCTGACCGTTCTGGGGCTGCCTATCGAGAAAGTTGTTGTTGCCATTGTCAATGCCGTTGGGGTTTGTACCTGGCACAACATTGACAGGCTGGCCGGGCCTCAAGTCGTTGTTGACCCCATCAAAGCCGCCCAAGTTTGGGCCGACGGGCTGGCCGTTGAACGGATCGACTTCAACAGGCTGGCCATTGAACGGATCGGTTTGAACAGGCTGCCCATTGAACGGACCGGCCTGAACTGGTTGGCCGTTAGACGGATCGACTTGAACAGGCTGCCCGTTGAACGGATCGACTTGAACAGGCTGCCCGGGAAACTGGTCGCCCGGAAATGGCTGGCCGTTGAACGGGCCGTCCTGGGGTGGCGGGCCATCGAAAAAGCTGCCGCCGTCGCCTAAGCCGAAAAGTCCTCGTGGTGCGGGATGATTCTGCCGCGACGAGGCAGTCTTGTCGCTGATATCGGCGACGCGATCAAGAGGCATTCCGCGAACCTGCGCGGCTGTCAAGCCAAAGGCGAATACTATAGTGCGTTTCATTCTCGTTGTGCCGTCTTGAACCGTCCAGTGTCTATCTGTTCAGAAGAGCAGCCTTTCGGAGTACAGAGACAACAGTAGATGGTCACAAAGTGGAAGAATAAAGCAAAAGCGATGGTTGTAGAAAGGAGTGACGACGCGGGAGCAAAATATTCAGGCGCGTTTTCGGCGGGCCCAGGCGGTATAGACGTGAAATCTCCAAAATGCGAACGTGCCCAAGGTTTAAGCATACATGGCCGAACCCCTGGGCTCTGGCAAAGTCTGGAGGGGACGTATGATCGACGAAACGTGGTGTGGTTTCACGTCGCGTGCGCAACTTGCTCAGTTTGCCAGCGTACATCACCTGTCGATGACTCGCCTCCGGGCCAAACGATGTCTCCGCCGCGGCGAGTCCAGGGTGGTTTGCGTTTTAGCCTCGAGGTCAAAACACCAGGCTCGGCTGGGGCGACCGAGCGGCCGGCGACGCCGCGGCACTTGACGCAGACGAGCCGGAGCAAAATCGAGTCCACCGGCTTGGGCAGTTGGGACAGCAGGTACTCTCCGAGGTTGCCAAATTGGCGGTCTCGGAGGAGTTCGTCAGCGTTCATATCGGCGGAGGAGGGGCTCATCATATCGACGGCGGCGGGCCGCCTTCATATCGGTAGGGATAGAAATGGAAATCTCATATCGGCAAAGGGCGGGAAGTCCCAGCAATACAGAGGACCGCAAGAATCAGTCATGATCCTCCTCAGTCCGGCCAAAAGCAGCGAATAATGTACATGTTGCGGACTAGACCGTGGTGTGAGACGCGATGGTCTCTACGCGAGACTCGCCAAGCACGCTGGCAGTCACCGTGGAGATGCATTCCCGACTCAGACTGTCGCCATTCGAGCGCAGGAAGAGACGTGACAGACGTTCTGCTCAGCGTGGCCAGCGTCTGTGCGAGCCAGGGGCGAAACGCGAAGGACCCATGGCGCGACGAGCCGGCATCTCATAGGACGAGGCCGTCGCTGCTCTCGTGACCATCCAGAGCTGCATTGCCGAGCACTGCAGGGAAACCGTCCGAAGCGAGTGTGCTTTTATGCGAGGTTCAGTCGCCTCGATGTGCTTCGTGCAGTCGCATCGTTACTTGCTGCGCAGGTCGCGTCGCGGACTCGCAACTTGTCTCCGATGATGTGCGCCACATTAGGCAATCAGGGATGTGACTTTTGGTGGGGCGGCGACAGTGATCTTGGATTGCCTGGACACCAGCAGTACCAGCGCTGCCTCAGCCAGTGGCCTCAGGCAGGACGGGCTGGTCACGCCTAGCATCACGTGCCTGGCATCCTCAGCCAAGCGGATTTGGCATCTCCGGGCAGGGGCGAGCAGCGCACTCGACGGCCCAGCCTCTTCATCTGTTCATGCACCGGCCAAGCAGAGCTGTCTTGCAGCTACTATATGCAGCCGCCAGGCCGAGCCAACCCGCGCCGCCCTCGTCGACAAGCCCGTTGCAAGGGACCCGACGACGGCCCACCCAAAAAAGTCGGCACACGCCAGCGAGACCAGGCCACCACCCAGGCGCAGCAGACCAGCACCACCACCCACCACGACGGGCAACTGTGGCTAGAGCCAAGGGCGGCGAGAGGGGTGGGCGGGCTCGACTGGCTGGCTGGACCGCCGCCCGCCGCCGCCGCCGCCGCCGCCGCTCCTCTCCTCTCCTCGTCGTTTGCGGCCCACCGATCCTGCACTGCAGCTCCAACCGCTTCCCCGCAAATGGCCGACAGTCTCGATCCGCGCCGCCCGCACGGCCTCGCGGCCAAGGCCCATCGCCGTACGTACCGTGCGCATCGCGATTGCGGCAGCCAGCGCGGCCGGCACCCGCACCGTGGTCGAGCTCCAATGACGCCCTCCAATGCCGCCTAGTGCGAGCAGCTTCCCGGGCAGCTGTCCATCTGTCGTCGTCGAGGGCCATGGCAACCTGGAAGGCCGGAGCAGCTGAGCGAGTGCGTTCCACCCCTCCTCTCGCGCGCTCTCGTCGCTCGCCCTCGCCCTGGGCCAAGTCCGGGGGGGGGCGGGACGCCCGCTGCGTCGGAGTCTGCGTGCCAGCACTCGTCCGTAATGTAGGCATCGGTATTAGTTAGCTGACGGCCAGCCAGGTCAGGTAACCGGTTGCTCCATCCTCGTGGTACAAGGTACCGCGCAGGGCTACCTCGCTCATGCGCTCGCTCCTCGCGGCGCCGTCGGTTACCTCAGCATCAGCCAAGGTACTTCCAAGGTTGATGCGGTACGAGTCCGGCGACTCCCCCCTCGATGAGGCCATGTCCCATGTCCCTCGCCACCTCGGGCTCGCGGGCGAGAAACCTTGCTTCCATCACCCACCCAGATTCAGCAAGGCCATTGATCCGACAGCTGCGCCTGTGGAACCGTCGTGGCCGCCTCTCGTGCAAACCCAGCCAGCCAGCCCGCGCCGGTAGCTTTCCATCCCGCTCGCCCTCTCCTCTCCCGCCCTCTCTCGCCCTCACTCTCTCTCTCCATCATTTCATCGCTCCGTCTCGCATCGCCCGCCTCTCGCGACCCGTCGAGACCGCAGCCCTCATCTGTCGCCCCAGACATCTCCCGTGAAGTCGCTCGCGCCCTCCGCAGACGCCCTCCTCTCGCCGCCGCAGCTCCTCCAGCTGTCGCCGTCGCAGTCCCGCTCCTCGCTCGCCGGCGACCACTGCGCACAGCGCACAGTCCAGCCGCCCCAGCCTCCAGCCGCCCCAGCGCCGCGCCGTTTTGGCACTCTTACGTCATCAGCACCCCCTGCGCGCGCGACCTCGCTCCAGTCGCCAGACTCGCCCATAATCATGGCCGACGGAATCGCACCAGCCGTTGACAAAGGTATTTACCGTCGCATGTTGTCGCAAGATGTTGCAATCGCTGCCCCGTGAGCCGCAGTTGCGCGCGTCTTCCCATTGTCTTGCTGCGGCGTCAATTGACTTGCATGTTGCACCGGCTGGCTCCGCGGTCACCACTCGGTCTACTCTGTATTCGCTAGCACCGCCGCCTGCATGCCTCTCCCATGGCCTGCACCGACAGTCATGAATCAAGGCGCTGACAACTTCTAGTCGGCGCGCCCGAGCCCTCTGCTCCCGAGGCTCAAGCCGGCGCCCCGACGCTGGATGCGCCTCCCGCTCCTCACCTCGCCGTCTGCCCTCCCGCGCCCCCGGGCCATCAGCCCAAGCCGGACGCGGCCGAGCAGAACAAGGCCAGCATCCCCGATGGTGCCGGTCCCGCGCTTGCCGCCCCGCGGCCGGTCGAAATCCAGTCCGTGCCTGAGACTCCTGTCAACGGGGCGACGCCCGCGGGTGGCACGCCCCGGCCGGAGCTCAAAATCGCCGAGGACTCGCCAGCTCAGGACTCGCCCAAGGAGCCCGTCGTGATCACGGGCATCAACGAGCCGGCCCCCACGCCTACGGCTTCTGTTCCCACCAGTGTGCCGTCGGGAGTTGAGACCCCGGTGAATTCGCTCGTCAACGGCGGCAGCCAGCCAGCCCCCAGTGAGCCTGCCGTCGCGAAGGAGCCTTCCGCTCCGAGCGAGCCCGCTGCCCCGGTCACGCACACCGGCCCTGCTGCGGAGCCCGTCCCTGCCCCGGCCCCCGCTCCCGCTCCGGACGCGATCGCGGACGCCGTATTGCCCGTCAACGCCGAGCCGTCACGGCCCGCAGAGCCCGAGCAAGACATTCCTCCTGCGCCTGGCCGTCCTGGCAATGGTATCACGCCCGCCGAGCCGGGCAAGCCGGCCGTGCCCCTCGACGAGCCGTCTGTCGGCGAGAAGCGCAAGTTTGACGACGCGGCGGCTTCGGCACCCGCTCCCGCGGCCGCCCCTGTTCCTGCTTCAGAGGGCCCCATTGTTCCCCTGACGGATGACAAGACGGATCTGCCCCCAAAGCCAGTTCCGGCTCAGGATGACCAGCCTGTGGACAAGCGGCCCAAGGTCGACGACTCCACCGCGGACCTCAATGGCGGCAGCTCCTCCAACGGCAGCGCCAAGCCTGGTCCCGGCCGGCCCAGGAAGGACAAGAAGGCGGCTCCCGCGGTGGGCCGGACGGCGCGCAAGACGCGCAGCCAGGGTCCTGCCGACCTCTGAGCATTTTCTTCCTTTTCAGACATGGCCACCCCGAACTCGGAAATGGTTCTCGAGGCCCGGGGCCGGACGCTTGGCGGGACCGTTAAAAGGACCGAGATCGGAACACGTGCAGTGCGGAAAGGATCTGGGAAGGGGGGCGATATGGCGAAAATGGCTTTTTCTGTGACTTTTCATGCGCGACTCTCGACTTTGGCTGCTCTTGAGTTTTTTGGCTTGACCCCGATCTGACTAACATTCCTATGTGTGAAAGTCGACTTATCTGGGTCGACACCCCTCCTGATCTGTCCCGGGAGGCGATCTGGCGAGCTCGTGGTTTTCTTGTGCGGGGTTTTGGTTACTGGCTTTGGGATCAATGGCCATCTTTCCCTTACTGTTTCGGATCGGCATTCTCCTGTTCCTTTCTTTATAGTCTCCTGGTTATGCCATGAGTGAGCTCAGCCCCTGCCCGGCGCGTATTGCCGGCGCTGAGACGCTCAATGAGGTAGCTGCAAAGAGATCGTTAAAGATGAATGGCGATGATGACGATGATGATGATGTGCCCGACACCGCCGACACGTCGCCTAGCATCTGATTACCATTATAAGTATTATTTCTTTCCCCATGATGGTGAATTTACATGGGTTGTGTGTGCGTGTGTGTGTGTCTCCTGATGCGAGTTGGGCGAGGTAGTCATAACAGCTTTGGCCTGCCACGTACGTACTTTTTTTTTTTCGTTAGTGCCATGACATTGTCATGTAAAAGGAGAGGGAGATGGGGAAAATGGCACACTCATTACCACGCACCCGTTTCTTGACATGGCCATGATCTCTTTAATTCCTAATCCTATCGTCATTTCTCCTGTCGTCATCGCGCGATGGTTGAGCGTTGAAAATCTCCAACAGGCGTGGACGACATGTGTACCGGGTAGGCAAGTCATTTAGCCGGAGCACCTCGGCGCCGACTTACACCACGGACCGGGCAAACACACGACACGACATACTGCATACAGCACGAGGTAATAATCACCGCACTGCCATACGCATTCATTCAACGCCTGTGCTTGATCCATGTACAGAATTATGTCTGTTGGCTATGTGCGCATTATACGGGGTCGGTCCTATCCAGACAAAACGACGCCCCAGACAAACCCTGTCCGTCCGGGGCGGCCCTCATCCTAGTCCGTCCAGCCACTCTCGCCGTCTCGCGGGAGAGCCTATCCGCCGGTCCTGGCGGAGATGCACGCCCCTCTAGTATCCATAGTAGTAGTAGTTTGTAGTAGTGGTTGTATAGTATCATCAGCCGGAAAAAACGCCGCGCAGACCTTATCAATGCTTTTTGTGCCACAGATTACCGCCCAACGGGGACGCTCGTACGTCGCGACCCCCTATGCCGGACCGCGACTACCACCCGCTGCCGGGTGCGCGCGCCGGTCGGCTCCCTCCTCTAAAATAGTTGTACTGGGACGGATCAGCCTCCTGGGCGTCCGTGTCCTCTGTTTGCGCCAGCCCGCTATACCCTCGGGGGCCGCCGCCGAGGGCGCCGATGGACGGGCCCGGCGTGCTGGCTGCCGAGGGGATCCGGCCGGGCGTCATCCGCCCGCGGTCCGAGCTCACATCCCGCGCGTACCCGGGGGGCGGGCTCATGGGCACGGCCGCGGCGTTGCGGACGAGGCCCAGGCCCGACGAGCTGCCGTTGTCCTGCGAGTAGAGTGGGCTGCGGCCGCGCGAGCTCGCGCCCTGGTAGCTCGTATCTGTCATGGTCGTCGTGTTGGTCATGACCCGCCTGGGGACCTGCCCAGGCACAAAGGGCGTCGACTTGCCCGACATGGGCGAGCCGGGCCTCGACATCGCGGGGTCGCTGAATTCGTCTATGGAACCTGGCGTGCCGGGTCGTCCCATGTCGTTGGATCGTCCGTAAATCTCACCGCCGCCGTGCTGGTCCGTGAACTCGGCCCGATTCTTGTAGTACTCAAAGTCCATGTGGTTCTCCGACACGTACTCAAAGCCCGGGAGGTTGCCGGCTGTGACACTCTTGCCGGGCTTGCCGCCCTGCATCGCGTCGAGCGCATACATGTCCGAGTAGCCGCTGACGCTCATGAGATCGCTGGCACCACCCTCTCTGCCGTCCGTCAGGCGCCCGCGGTACACCGAAGGCAGCAGGTTCTGCGCCTTGGAGTGCACCATGGGCGTGATGAGCGGCTTGTACAGCGCCGGGTGGCCGAAGCGGCTCGCCAGCTTCTCGCTCCTCAGGCGAGCCTCCTTCTGCGGCAGACCAGCCTCCTGGTTCCTCGGGGACCCGCGCGTGCTGTAGTATCGCATCTTGTCGTCAAACGCGCGTCGGCAGTAAATCTTGAAGGCCACCATGATGAAGGGAAGCGGCGTGCTGCAGTAAAACTGCAGCTTGAGGCCATCGCCGCGCACCCAGCACGTCAGCAGGACCACCAGATTCGAGAGGATGGTGGCAAAGATGAGTCGGTTGAAGAGGACGCGCCAGAAGAGGCCGCCAGACTCCGTCTTGGTGACGAATCGGTACAGGATGAGGTACTTCTTCAGGTACGAGTCGATGCAAAAGTACATGGCCGTCGCGACGAGGGTCAGCGGCTGGATACCCATGAAGCACAGCGTCACCGTCGAATAGAAGAGAAAGTAGTTGTAGTAACTGGCGTACTCAAAAGGCGGCGGGGCCGTCAGCTCGATGAGCTCGCGCGGTGTGGGGCTCGAGAACTTCTTGAGGAAGAAGGCCTGAATAAGGGGCCAGATCTGGGCGAGGTCGATGGCGGCACCGAGCTGGCGCTGCAGCAGGTAGGTAACCCAAAAGGGGCTGTTGTTGCAAAAGGCCTGGAAGATGGCGTCGGCGAGCTTGCTCTTGTTGATGGCGTCCCAGGCGTTGGTGCCGTGGCCCGTGTCCTTGACAATGTTGGCGACAAAGGTCCAGATGGTGCTGAAGAAGGAGAAGACGATGAGATTGTTGAAGACGAAGAAGGCGTACATCTTTGCCAGCACGTGCCTCTCGCGGCCGGTCTTGGTCTGGTCGCCGGCCTTGATGGAGAGGCGGCGGAAGATGATGGGCAGCACCAGGTACACCAGAGACATGAGGGCGGGCGAGGCGATACCCTGGATGACACCCCAGAGGGTGGTGTTGGCCGACAGGGAACGCTGGAACGCGGGCCAGACCTTGCCGAGGTTGGACAAGTTGACGAGGAAGATGGCGATCATGGCGTTGGGGGCGATCCAGAGGACAGTCAGGATGGTGATCCAAAAGGTGTTGATCCAGCGCCGGCGGCTGCGCGTGGCGCTCGAGAGCGGCATGTTCTTCCAGATGACGTCGACGGGGCGCGGGGCGAGGGTGACGGTGGCACCGTGGGGCTTCTTCTTGCGGCAGGCGTAGGCAATGTTGTGCGTCTCGGCAATGTCCGAGTAGCTGGCGAAGCCGTAGGGCATGGTGCCTCGCTTGTCGACGCTGGCGCGGACCTCCTTGATCTCGAGCTCGAGCTCGCGGATGCGCTGGGTGTAGTAGTCGATGGCGTCGAGCTTCTGGCCCTTGGGGTACGAGGCGAAGGCGCGGTCCTTCTTGGAGGGCTTGCACGAAGGGCGGGCGGCGGGGAGCTGAGCCGGGTTCTTGAGGTACTTGGCGAGCACCTTTTCGAGCTTGCGGACGGCCTTGCCATGCTCCTCGATGAGGTCGGGCAGGTCCTTGACGTTGCGGGCGACGACGGTGCGGGCAAACGACGAGTTGGGGACGACCTGGTCGATGAGGCGGGCGATGCCCTCGTCGGAACGACCCTGCTTCGGGAGGTCGTACAGCTGTCGTGCCACGTTAGCCACGTTTTCCTTGCCGTCGCGGGGGAAGGGGGGGAATCGGAATGACGTACCATGAGCGTACGCGCGTGGAGGCTGTTTTGGTACTCGTCGCTCTCAAAGTAGACCCTGCGCAGGGCCAGGACCTTGCGGTAGTTCCACCAGAGGAAGAAGATGACGACAAAGTTTGTGCAGTAGGCGACGACTACGCCAGCCCACTGAGGCGCGCCATAGACGTCGCGGGGGGTGATTTGCATGATCCACTTGGTGGCCTGGCCTTGATACTCCTTGACGGACTGGGTGGCGTAGACGGGCAGGAGGATGCCGACGCCGAGGGCCATGAGGACGAGGAACATGTTGCGCAGCATGCGGATGAAGCGCAGGAAGATGATGGCGTCCATGCCGATCTGGCTCATGAGAATCTTCTCCTGGGTGTGAAGCAGAGGCGTGACCCAGGCCCAGGGCTGCCTGCCGATGGGGGGCGGCGCATGCTTCTCGTCGGCGTGCTTGAGCTTGGGGGCGTAGATGGCCTGGTTGTAGGGTCGGAGGAAGGAGAAGCAAATGGCGATGAAGACGGTGAAGCCGATGGAGATGCCCAAGGCAGAGAACAGGGACGCGGCGGCGAGCTGCAGAGCAGAGCTGGTCAGTGCGCGTCACGGAGGGGGATTGGTCGGTCGCGTGCGGGCGGGCGATGCTTACCGATCCTTGGAAGGGATCCTTGAGCAGATCCAGCAGCTCCTGGCCGGCGTCCTTGTCGTCTCTGGCGACGAGGCCGAGGACGGCCCTGGACAGGTCCATGGCGGCGGGAGGTTCGCTGCGTCTGCCAAAGGCGACGAGTGATCCCGAGGGGGCTGCGACTCCACGTAGCGGCTCAAAGGCGCACGGGCCGGAGGGGCAGTTTTGCGCCGAGTCGGCTTCGTATCAGGCTTGAAGCCGTTCGAGGACGAGGGCAGACGGGTATGATGATATGTACGGGATGTGGTTCGCCGAAAATTCGTCACGGGCTGGGCGTAGGTGGTGAGGGGCCGCCAAGGGGAGCTTGTGCCGTCGAAGACGCGTCGATCAGTGTCTCGCAGAGGGAGGCGAAGCGGGCGGATCGAGGCCGGGCTGCTGGAACGTGGTGGTGGTGGTGGTGGTGGTGGCGGTTCGCAAAAATAGTTGAGCAGCGATGGAGCGAGCGACGAGGGGGGGGGGGGCGTCGACGGAGGAATACAACAACCGAAGGCTAGGCGGACAGAAGCAAAGGAGAAAACGAGAGACGCTTCAGTTGTCGTCGAAGGCGGCGATGGCTGCGACGGGCGCGGCGTGGAGGAGGAGATGGTCGTGGAGGGGAGGAAGGAAAGAGGGACAAAAGGGTAGAGGCGGCGATGGACGGAGGGACGGACGCATGGCCGCATGGACGTTGGGGATCAAGAGAGTGAGCGATGCAATGCATGGCTGGATGGACCGACACTTGGATGGCATGGATGGATGGATGGATCCCGCGGCGGGTCCGAGCTTCTGACGGGTGTCGAGAAGAAGAAGGGGAGGGCCGTGAAGCCCGCCTGCAGGGGGGTCACGGCGGCGAGGTCACGGACTGGGCTGGTGGTGGTGGTGGTGGTGCTGCTGCTGCTGCTGTAGTATGTTGTAGGTGCGCTAACTGCGCTGAGGCGGCAGGTGGTGACGGCGGGTAAAGTCAGTCGGGTGCCAGCACTGCACACGCTGTACCCGGTCCTGCTAGAGCCTAGAGGCAAGCCATTGGTGTGGAGGCCATCCATCCATCGGAACCCCCAGCACAGGACAGTCATGACAGTGTCAAAAGTCCTGCGGCCAAGAACGACCCTCGTACCTACAGATGCCGCCGACCGACAGCAAGGCACCACCGAACCTTGGTGACGGGTTCCTGGAAAATCCTAGCGGCCCGCCGCCCAAACGTGGCGATGGGCTAGGTAACTCCCTGAACTTTACTCTGTTTGTCGAGGCGGCAGGGCCAAGGTTGGGGCTGCTCCGCCGCCCCCTGGGGCCACTGGAACCGCAGGCATGGCACAGCCCGGCCCAGGAGCCCACACCGGGGGGCCACCACCTCACTGAACGGCGAGCGACCCAGCAGCATGGAGTCCTTGGAACTTGGAAGAACTGCCCGCCCTGCCCGGCAGCACCGCACCCTAGGACTCTTGACAACCGACCTACTGACCCCCCCGGCCCGTCAATCACCCCCAAGGGACCGCCTCGGAGCTCGCTCAACACGGCGGCAGCACATGCCGTGATTGGCCCGACCCTCGGCCACTTGAGCCCCCCTGGCCCCCCTGCCTGTCGGGTGCTGCTATTTTTTGACACAGCCCTTCTCCTCCGCGGTGCCGCTAGCGCCTCCGAGAGGGTGGAGCTGGCGCTGAGGAATACGAGAGGGCTGCATCTCGGAACATGCCTGCCTGGCCTGCCTCTGGCGCGCGCGACGTCAACAGAAGAAGAATGCTGCGTCTCGTGTCGACATGTCCCGCTATGATGACGCTGATGATGGCGGCAGCGAGAGGCAGCCCGGCGCGACGCGGCGCTTTGCTGTTGATGATGCTCTGCCTCGACCCGAGCACGGGGCCATGCATGGGGACTGAGGCGTCAGCCTGTCGCCCGCGGATGGGGATCTTGGAATGGAACCCCTGAGTGGAGAGCCCAGCGATGACATCCTGTTGGACGACCGAGTCTGCTGGGCGGACGTGGTCGATACGGTGGTGCCTCTGGGCGATGGAATGGCCTGTCGCGTGCCTCGCTTGCACCTCTCACCCCATGCCCAGGTCCTGTCCTCAGTGGATGGGGGAAGCCCCTTACTGCGAGTGGAGGTGCTGCACTGACGAGGCACAGTGCAGGGCAGCTTTCAGGGCAGCCTCCCCCGCTGTGAGATGGACCGAACGGCACGCTTGGAACTCCAGCTGGGCCACCGCCAAACCCAAGGTTGCCCAACATCCATCCCTCCAATGTCACCCCCCTGTGTCGTCCAACAACTGCAGCGGCACCATCTGCACGCGACACGTACATATTGACATTCACGGCCCGGGGAAGAAAAAGAAATCCAGACAGCACCCTGACAGCCCTTGGGACAGGATGGACACTTCGGCCTGACCGGGATCGGCCCTGTCGAGCCTCTTGTGCCCCCGAGACAAACCCTGCAAACCCATGCACGTCGTCGCCACTGGCGCCCCTGCAGAGCGAAGATCTGGCCCAGCCACAGCCCACGGAATCGCGATAGTATTTCCATCGGATCGGGGGCCCCATCCCCCGATTGAACCGATTTTTCTCTCTCTCTCTCTCTCTCTCTCCCTCTCCCCACTCCGTCCCTTCCTCTGCCGCTGGCAGACACAGAAAAGCCGAAGAAAAAGAAGCGAAAAAAATGCCTCGGCGATGGATGCCATGGCAGCTCCGTCCCTCACAGTGCCCGGCCATTCTGAAACGCAGTGGCGTCGAGCTTTTGCTGCTCGTGAGACGCGCAAACGACCCCACCCAGGGGGGGAAGGGAGCGACTGGAACCCGCCCGCACACAAAGACCAGAGTCCAGACAAAGACAAAGACAGAAAAGACGCGCGCGCTACGAGTGCAAGCGGCTTAGCACAAACGGCTTTCCCGCCGGCAGCTGCCGAGGCGCTCTTGGCACGACGCCGTGCCCTGTCTGAGCCCGACTGTCAGTAATGTAGGGGATTCTGGCCTAGAGAGTGATATGTGTGCTTGTGGCTAGGCCGTCCTTTGTGAATCCGTTTTTGTTTCTGTTTGTTTCCCGGCAGGTTGTTTGTACAAAATCGAGCGTGACGTCTTGTTTGTTTGTTTGGATTCGGATACATGTCTCGCCAGTTGAGGCTCCAAGAGTCCCGACTACACGGGAGACTGCTGCACGTGTTGCAATTTACTATGCTTCCAATCGCGAACGCCAACTCCTCGACCGCGGTACTGACTCTGCGAGCTAACTGTATCTTAGCAGATCACTCTCAAGTGTCTTGTATATGCTCTCTAATTGCTAGATGTGAACCCGAGGGTTTCGTGATTTACTTAGGTGCGACCACGCTGAGTCTCCGTCACCATCCCTGCCACCACCGGCGTAGCGGCACGGGCAAGTGGAATGGCAAGGTGCCTTCTTTGGACTCATTTCGCCGGCTCTCCGTGCCATGACGTAGCCTGCAGAGCGCGTTATGGACTGTCTGGTCGAGCTGGTATCCTGGCCCCAGTCCTCGCTCGTTCTCGGTGCGGGCAAAGTGAGCATCATATCGACCTAGATCTCAGCCAAGTTCTGAGGCCCTCGTTCTCTTTCTCTGTTCAGACTGCTCAAGGGCTGCCTCACAACTACGCTCAGCTCACGCCTCTGTGTTACTAGCGACGCAAGAGAACCCGCCATCGCAGCAGCTCTTCTCGAGGGCTCTGGGCCTGTGTGTGAAGCTAACACCTTGATTAAGATCTTGGTCCCTGCAAAAGGGGCAAGACGAAGTATTTACAACGATATAAATCGACTTAGCAACGACGGTCTTTGTTCCCCATGACCACCGTGCATTCCTGTGCTCATTGTTATTAAAAGGCCCCCAGAGGCAGCCTGTCTGAACCCATTGCGCTGTTACTCGCATCTCCAGTCCCGGGGTCAATTTACAAGTTGCCATCATACTAGGGACGGTCCAACCTCCTTTTAGCTCGAGATCTGGCTCCATGTTAGCATCTATTATGGCTTCGAGTATGCGATTGTCCAAATCATTGACCCGCCCAAGACGCTCACCTCGATAATGGCTGGGCCTGCGGCGACCGTGTCGTCGGTGACGGTGTCGTTGCAGCCCGTCAGCACCACGTACGACTGCCCCGCGAATCCCTCAGGAATCTTGACGGAGAACCCACCCTGCACGGGCGTCGCCTCGACAAACGTCGGGCCCGTGACGGCGATGAACGCGGCGTAGACCTTTTGCCCCTCGGCGCCCTTGAGCGTATAGTCCTGCACGTCCGACAACGTCAGTCATTAGGCCCCATACACAGTATATGTGGCGATCCGCCCTTGAGGGCATGGTCGTAGGGTGAGCTGTGTACTTACCGGAGTTAGCAGCGTCACCGTGTCGCCCGTCTTGACCGGCATCGGCGTCTTAGGGTCCAGCGCCAGCTTCGGGAATGCCTTGACCGGCAGCGGCGGGTTCTCCTTAGGGCACGACACGATAAATTGCGACGCGAGCGAGTACACTTCGTTGATGGACAGGGGCGCGTCGAACGGCTGCGCAAAGGGGGCCTGCTTGAGCCCCGCGCGGATATACGACGAGTGCCGCGCCTCGACCGTCAGGATGGAGCCCGCGGCCGTCAGGTACGTCTTGCTCATGATTTCGGCCGCGGCGCCGAGGTACGCCGACACGCCTACGCCCTCGAGGATAGACGCTGTCGCGAGGAATGTCTTGACGTCGGTGACGCCGAAGCTGTAGGTGCACTCGGCGACGGGGGTGACGCCGGCGGCTGCATCACGGAGTCAGCACTACCTTCGCTTTTTACCCTCCATCCTTGATCCAACAACCAGGGTGCCGATCGGGGATATCCTTGAGGATAGCCGTGCGCTTCAGGAGGTCAACGTACCCTTGAGTGCCTCGGTGAGGAAACCGACGTGCGCCGTCTCGTCGGCAGAGACCTTCTTCACGTTGCCGTAAAACGTCTCATCGAACCCTGCGGCCTTGAAGTCGTCTTGGGTGAAGTTGGCCAGGCCCTGGCGGTAGAATGTGTCCTCGAGGTGCTCAAGTGTAAGAGCGTAGTTGAGAATAACACCGTCGTTGATGCCATCCGCCCGCTTGTCTGCGAGTGGCGCCGCCGACACGAGGCCGGCTGTGGCGGCGGCAATGGCAACGGTGGCGGTGGAAAGGAACATTGTGATGGGAGGAGTAAAGGGATGGGCTGTTGTTGATGGTGGGATGGGGATTCGGGGTTCGCGAGAAGCAACAACGAAGAGACCGCGGCGGGAACTGCATATGTGCGGAGGCCCAAGTATATACCTACGATACTGCAGGTCAGTCGGCGCAACCTCAACCGGTTCGGCAGCTCATGTCGACATGGGATCTCGACTCGTACGCTGGAATAACGCGACGGCGATCAGCACGCGTTCAACCCGTCCTGCACCTATCTTTGAGAATGCCAAGCGCCGCCAATCCCAGCATCCGTTCACGCTCCGTGGTCTCGTCGTGTCTAGTGCCCAGCACATCTCATCCGACGTTGACGCCCATCGTCATAGACTGCCGTGGCGGAGTGAACCGTCCGCCGCGTAAGCACGCCCTAAACGACAACAAACGAAACGAAACAAAAATTGGGCCCATCACTTGCGTATGGTGATGGGACTGCGGCTGAAGAGCAACATCTCAAATCGCTGATCCAAGCCGGCACGGCATTTGGACAAGCCGGCCTCTAGCGTGAACTAGAGAGCCGCTGTCTTGCTGGAGGTTTGGAAGCTCAAATCTCTTAGCTGCCCCGGGACGCCGCCGACCCGGGTGGGGGCTAGGCTCTATCGAGCCGTAGGGCTCGGGAAGTGGCAGCTCCGGCCATCGTGTAAATCGACGCGCACCCTCGACCTGTAAGTCCACGCTGCCCAACGGCCCTTGATCATTCCCTGGAACGGTAAGCTTCTGCGCGGCTCTGCGGTTTACCGTGATTGTCAGTTGCCTGTCTGGGCATGAGCGCAGCTCGGCGAACGCGCTAAAACCGTTTCGTGCCCGATGTAATGCGGCACTGTCGCCACTCTACTGTATTTGAGCTTGAGTTGAAGTTTAGACAGGAACAAACAATAGGTAGTGACACTTAATCTCTCCAGACTGCAAGGATCATGAGCTGGAACGGCCTCGGCTGTGAGGGACGCACTGGAGCGCGCGTCTTGTCGAGGTGACGCCGTCGGATCCCACCTCAGACCTGATTGACACTACCTACTGTTTGGCATGCTCATTTCTATTTCGACCTCGCCCTCGCCCCCCATTTTCGACTTCTTTTTCTGGTAGGTAGTCCTTTGGTGCTTGCAAGCAGTCGCATTCGCTCTCATCTTGGTCTCTTTCCTGTTCCCGACATCAGCGTTTCAGCATAGCAAACAGACAAGCTTGAAGTTTACCGCCACCATGAGATTCGTGCACATTGTCGGCCTTACCGGTACGAGAGACTGCAAGTTTATTGCATCGAAAGCATTGAAGCTAACGGCCAGCAGCTCTCACGACCGTCCGCGCGACCGGCTCCACGGTCCAGTGCAGCGCATGCCCGCCTGCTTCGTCGACTCCGGACATAGTCACCCGCTCTGCTCTGCCTTCGACTCCATGCACTGCGCCACCGCTTACGGTCATCTCTGGCGGAACCGGAATGCCCTCTGGGGTGCCCACGTCAGGCGTTGCCTCGCCCACAGGCAGCGGGACTCCTCCTGTGTCAACCTTGCCGCCGGTTGCAGGCGCCAGTAATAGCCACGTCAGCGGCGCGATTGCCCTAGCGGTCGCGGCAATCTACTTCCTGTAGGGTGTCCTTTATTGTGGAGGGTTGGAAGGTTCCAAGGATCTGGGGGCTTTCCAGTGACCTTTCACAAGGAGCCCCCGTGGAGGCCGGAGTCTGGTGCGTCAGTGGATAAGTGCTTGAGTAACCCCCGACTGCATGTGCACAACACGTACAAACGGCATATTGCCAATTGTTTCACGTCTTGGGGGTTGTCTCGTGAAGAGAGGAGCGAATGGCTATGGTACTCAATGGGTAAGCAAGACTCCCGCCGTGAGGCTTGCCCAGGTACAAAGAAGGGAGACGAAGGGGGTGATCTTGGCCACTCTCATATTTACCCGCACTGCTCTCATTTGACAATCTCTTCTCGCCTTTAATTCAATGAGAAAAGACAATCTAAGCTTGCCCGCACGGGCAAAGCTTCATATCAGAGTGCTCTAGGTCGATGGTCTAGGGGCCTTCGCCCGGCCGTGTTAGCGCGTATTCGTATTCGCGTCTCGGGTTCGGGCCCGACACGCATTCAAGCAACATCGCAAGCGAGAGCTTTCCAGTATTTATAAAAGAACCGTTTCCAATGGCAGGACTAGATAACATGCAGTGTTTCTTATTCAAAGTTTCAGTATACGACCTTGGTTCTACCTCTTTACCGCACCACCATGATGTCGCAAGCACTTCTCCCGGCCGACCAGGCCAAAAACTCGGCCTTTGATGGAATACTGCATCGCAACTCGAACAAGTCACAAGGAGGCTTCCGCGCCATGATGAATAAGGACAACTCGGCTCATGTTGCTGCCGTGGAAGAATACTTTCAGCATTGGGACGACAAGGCGGCCGAGAACGAGACCGAGGCTGTCAGGCAGGCTCGGACAGACGACTATGCCAGTTTGACCAGACAGTACGTCAACAGTACGATAATCGTGACACGCACCTCCTGACAGAGAAATTCGTCTTTAGATACTACAACCTGGCTACCGACCTGTACGAGTACGCCTGGGGCGAATCTTTCCACTTCTGCCGATTCGCGTTCGGAGAGCCCTTTGCTCAGGCCATCGCTCGACACGAACACTACCTGGCGAATCAGATAGGGATCAAGCGTGACATGAAGGTGCTAGACGTGGGCTGCGGCGTGGGAGGCCCTGCCCGTGAAATGGTCAAGTTCACGGGCTGTCACGTCACTGGCCTCAACCTAAACGAGTACCAAGTCCAGCGCGCGCGGAACTATGCCGCCAGAGAAGGTCTGGAACACAAATTGGAATTTGTCCAGAGCGACTTTATGGTACGCTGACTCACTTGCTAACCGACCTGCTGCAATTCCCGTGCCCAACGTAAAGGCAAGGACTGACCAGAGAGCGCGACACAGGCCATGCCGTTTCCCGATAACTCGTTCGACGCGGTCTACGTTATCGAAGCCACCTGCCATGCCCCGTCTTTGCAAGGCGTTTATAGCGAGATCTTTCGCGTTCTAAAACCCGGTGGCGTCTTTGGCGTCTACGAATGGCTCATGACTGACGCATACAACAACGACGATCTCGCCCACCGCCGAATTCGTCTCGACATCGAGCAAGGCGACGGCATCGCACAGCTATTCAAGATCTCCGACGGCATTGCCGCCTTAAAGGGCGCTGGTTTTGAGATGCAGGTCAACCAGGACCTCGCGGCCGACGACGACGGGCCTGCGCCCTGGTACTGGCCCCTGGGCAGCGACTTGAGATACGCGCAGACGCTGTGGGACGCCCTCACAGTCCTGAGGATGAACAAGTGGGGAAGGCAAGTTGCGCACGCCTTTTTTGGGTTGCTGGAAGTCGCGCGTATTGCCCCGGCCGGGACCAGAAAGACCGCCCAGAGTCTCGGGCGGGCGGCCGATGCCCTGGTTGAAGGAGGGAAGAGGAAACTGTTCACGCCGATGTACCTGATGGTGGGCAGGAAGCCTACATCGCCGTAATACGTGACGATCTGAGCCCATATCCCGAAAGTATTGCATAAACAGGTGGAAATATTTCGACTAAATGCCCCGCTGCGCGGAAGCAGGGCCATGTCTTGGCCGTGTGAACACTGCGCAACGGCGTGGCATTGCAGGGTTACCTCATATGCAGGGATGGACCGCGCCCGCGCTGCACACCATAATTGTATATTGTGAATGGAGATGGGGCGGTACGTTCCTGATAAGTGTCTCATAGCGCGAAACGGCGCACATGCAATCTGTAAAACGCTCAAAGTAACACAACTCCCGAACATCCGCGTCTACCCCGTCGCGCGATACTTGTTCCTTCTAACAATATGGTCGTGACAAAGCAAATGCGCCACCCTAGTGGTCTCCAAGTGCATGCTGCAGTCTAGGTAGTGCCTCTTGAATCCTTGATCCCCATAAACGCGGGGCAACACGGCCACCAAGTGCCTAGACACAAATCTCCTTCAGGCTGTACTCGACGGGCCTGCTCGGTTTCACGACGCCGCCGATGCACTTCTCCAACCCGGTCGAGTTGGGGAGCTCGATGTCGACTTGAGTGAGCAGCTCAACGAGCATGGTCTTCATCTGGACCATGACAAAGTTGGAGCTGGGGCATCCTCTTGGTCCAGCCAAGAAGGGCATGTACTCGCAACGGCTCTCCGCCGCACTGGCGCGGAGGCCTTCCCACCTCTCAGGCACGAACTCGTCAGCATTGTCGCCCCACACAAGCTTGTCGTGATGGAGCAGGTGGATAGAGGCAAACAGGTGTGCGCCGGCGGGAATGACGGCAGCATCGTTGGTTCGCGTCTGGACCGGGATGGGCTCCGTTACGATGCGAGAAGTAGTTGAGATGGGTGGGTGCATCCGGAGCAGCTCTGAGGTCACGGCGTCGAGATAGGGCATGGATCGGAGGGTCTCGAAATCCAGGTCGCCGTTGTCAGGCATGTTCTGAAGAATCTCTTGTCGCAACTTGGTGATGACGTCGGGGTGGAGGCTAAGTTCGTAGATAGCCCAGACCAGGAGCAGAGTGGGAGCCTCGTGGCCGAGGGAGAAGACCTGGCGTGCTTGGGCGAGAACGTCCTGAGTGACGGGAAGATCCGAAGTGCCCCCGGACTCTTTCGAGGTGTTGCGCAGAAAGTTGTTCTTTCGGCCATCGCAGTAGAGAGTTTCGGGGTCGAGGTTGGCGAGGTTCCGGTTCAGCAGCTTGTGCAAGACGCCGTTGATCTGCTCACCGACGTTGCGCTCGACATGGTCCGGATCCTGGAAGGACTTGAAAGCGAAGAAGTTGCGAAGGAAGTGTCTCCAGAGATGTGAGGGGCTACCGACAATGTCACCATAGCCAGACATGACATCCGTGATGTCCGCAGAGGACTTCGACACAGTGTCGTCTCCAATAGTAACGGACCAGACAGTATCCAAGGCATAGGCCTCCATAACCCGACCAAGATCTGACCCCGACCTTGCATCTCGCATTGCTTGGACGTGTCTTTTGGCAATGCGTCGTATATCATCGTAGGCTTGGCGGAGCGCGGTCGCGTTGGAGAAGTCCTTGAGGAAGCCCTTGCGCCAGCGGTGCCAGTCCTCACCATTAGCAGAGGCGGCGATGGTACCGGTAATTCGCTGCATGATGTTGAAAGGGCCGCTGCCATCGGGCGCCAGCCGAGTGATGCTGTTCGAGTTGTGGACGAGGACCTGGCGGATGATAGCCGGGTCACGAACAAAGACGACGGGGATGCCAACGGCGGAGGAAGAGGAAATGCCGCTATCCTTAGCAGCGTCGAAGAGAGACTTCATGGCCGAAGAGTAGAGTCCTTCCCTGCACATTTGAGGAAGGATTCCAAGAAGCGGATATCCAGTGACTTGCGGTATGTTTCGAAGGGGCTTGCCCAAGAAGCTGGCGAGGTTCACTTGCTTGGAAACTGACTTCAGGTAGCGGGCCATGCTAGACAGCAACACCACAACCAAAGCCGTGGCCGCCATCAAGATGGGTCCCAGGTTTCGCTGACGCTCCTCCATCATCGTCCCCGATAACTGGTCGAGCATCGCAGACTCTGTGAGATTTGCCATGGTTGCGGAGTGTAGAACAACGAGCACAGAAGCTTCAAAGTTGCAACTCGCAAGACACGAGGGAACCACCTGCTTCGAACAGGGCAATAGATGAGATACTAATAGTTACAGCCTCGGTTAACGCCGTCACTCCACAACGGCGGGTCTGCCTTCCTCCCTTCCGGCTCCTGCGCCGCAACGGGTGCGTTTGTCCGCCGCAGCACCTACCACCTCCGTCGGCCACGTCATACAGCAGGAGACCCGACAGAGGGACCTTTTTGGTGATAAGGTCAAAAGCCCGGAGCTAGAAGTTAGTTGCGTCTCGGTTGTGGCGGTTGAATATGTTTTGGTCAGCCAAGGCCGTTGACGTGTCTGTCTTCAACGCCCCGGCAGTGCCCTAGCTGCATATCCTGCATGCATTAGCACAGCCAAAGTCGTCCCATAGCCTCCCACATCGCCAATGAGGGCTTCGCCACAGGCAGGAGGGTAACCACTCAATTGGGTGCGCGCAGCGGCCCTGCGGAGTTCCATTGGCCTGACGGCGCAGACCAGTGATCCCATGCACGGGTTGCCAGCAGCAAACAGGACGGGGCACATCGCCCTCGCGACCCGGTGTTTTGGGTCAAGCTGCATGAAAGGTTCCATCGGTGCCGAATCAAACGCTCGGCTTGCCCCAGTCGAATGCACGTCCCCATAGGCCGTGTTTGCCGGATACATGTATCATGCGAGCTGCACGCCGTAGAGCAGACCGTCGTCAGAGTGAGGAGTCCGAGAGTAACAGTGGGCCAAGTTGGCCGAGATGGTGATCCCGTCTGCTCCATTACTGAAACGCTCCGCCCGTCAGGCGGACCGTCACAAGACTCGTCCGTCGTATGAGACCCAACCGCGCGTTGGGCAGCATCACGATGTTTACAGGTAGCAACTCAGAACAGGTTACTGAAAGAGGGCCACTTCAAGTGGGCTTTCCTTTGGCTTCCTATCTTGGTTCAAAGCGTAACTTGGGCGAAATAAAGCCGAAAAGCCTGGAAGAGGGCCTGTCCAGATCGTCAGGCTGATGTCTGCGGGACGCCCCGTTATCTCTGCCGTGACGCCGCGCGGGCCGAAGCGAGCCCATCTCTGGAGGTCCTCGAAGCCACTCTCGGGGAAGCGACTAGTCATTAGCCGGCCGGGGAAGCGGAATCTCGTCCAGGTTGCCCGCTCACGCCATGTATGTAAGCCGAGTAGTTACGAAAAGGGTTACTGGCAGCTGCAGCAGTATGCACGACGGCCCAGGCGCTACTACCCGTTGACTCGGCCACGATGTTGCCTGCAGCATCGAACGCGGGATAAACTAGTTGCAGGTGTCAAGACATCCCAGTTAATTAATTTGCTTTGGACGTTGGTGTTGCTGCCGTTGGTGGATGCCAACGCACTGGCGCTCGTCCCCGGACCGCTTGGATGCAGCGCGGGTTGGGCCATGGCTGCTCCTTTGCCGTTGTGACCAGCGCCAACCTCGGAACCCCGCGTGGGGCTTCAGATTCGTCAACGGCTCTCGCTTTCTGGAGCATGCTGCTCATCGCTGCCCCCCTTTCCCCAGAGGCTAGATACGGCCGTCCAACACACACGAGAGCACGGTTCAGGGGCTGCGCATGCCGCCATCCCCGACCGCAGGTACGGCGTCATCCAACAAGTCTCCGGGGTGGCAAGAAGTATAAACGTCGTAAAATCGCATGTCGGCCTCCTCGAATACTTGATCGGACCGCTTCCGCCGGGGACTCGATTCCACGTGCAGTGGAAGTGTCACATTCTCGCCGCATGTGGAAGACTCAGCCGAATAGCACTCCTGGTCCACACCGGAGTCGCATGACGACCCCTCCATGGACTGCAACTCTTCGTTTCCGTTGAGTGGCAGATTAGGTTGGCTGTAGAGCTGCTCCGGCTCCGTCTTTTCTGACCGCCATCTGTCATCTGGCGCGGACCCGGTAGCGCCGAAAATGACGGCCCCCTCCTCTAGCAACAGCCCTGGACCAACGACCTGGCCCCTCGAGTGCGTCACGATGTGCTGCAGCCGGCTGCAGGTGCACTGGAACCTTCGAGGCGTCAGACAAGGTTCGAAGAGAGAAGATGCGCCGCGGTGCCAACGCAGGCCGCTTGGACTTAAAAACTCTCGGTCAAGCCGGCACCCTGCCGCGTCGTACAAGTCGAGCAACGTACTGACCGAGGTGGCCAGGTAGTCCTTGTTAGAAGGTAGAGTTCTCCACCCGTGGCAAATGACTTCTTGGTCTGGATCCTTTGGATGGATCACATTGCCGAACCCGCTGGCGAAGAGCACGAGGGCGTCGATGTCCTCGACCAGTGAGAGCCACCCTCCCGAAGCCCCTCGTAGAGGACACTCTTTTGGGGAGATGGGAGATCGCTGCTGCACTATAGCCTTGTACTCAAATCCACCCAGTCTGCGGCCGGTGTGCGCCTTCAGTGGCTTGCCTGGCACGCAGCGCTGATCTGATGCTCGGGCAATGAGAAACTCCAGCATCGACCATATCTCACTAATCAAGTCCCGGAAGGCGTATGAGCCATCATCCGATAGACTCACCTGACGGTTTTCCAAGAGCGTTTCTTTTGCCGTATGTTTCATCTGCAGATGCATGGGGCCGCTGCTACCAACGAACGGCTCAAGAAAATGTCGATGCTGAGCCATGTGTAGCAGCACAGCAGTCGCCGGTACCAGCCACCCTCGCCGCTCCATAGTGTCGTACAGCGCAACGGGGGTCCTTTCGGCGGCCGAAACGATGCTTCGAAACGGTCCTTCCCGGAGATAATGGAACTTGATGTCCTTGCGGCCGAGTCTAAAATCGACCCTGGCCATCCCAAAATGCTGGAACCCAAAACTACCTCCTTCCAGGCGAGATTCGAGTCGTGCCGCCCGTGCCTTGGAGTAGTCAATGTTGGCGTAATCATAATGCGGGCTTCCGAGGTCTGTCTCAGCGGAGCTGCACCAGCCGACGATCGCACGCGTGTTCATCAAGGAGACGACGTCCAGCTGATCCAAGCCGACTCGTTCTTTGCATTGAGCGATGCCCGTCTTGTACGAGATTGGCTCATCGTCGTCCCTGCTGCGAGCCAAGTGCCACTGGACTCTGTCTGCAGTTTTGCCCACCGGTAGCAGCATGGTTGAGAATCCCTTGAGCACCACAGAGTTCTGGTACTCCACGGCATGTCGGGCCCCGGACAATGCAGCCATGAGGTCGAGACCTACCTCAAGTCCCATTTCCTCGCCCCTCTCGGGAATCGGAAACCCATGCGCAATTACTGCATTACCAAAGAGCGGTAGCCAACAGGAATCTTCTGCGGAGACCAGATCTTCATAAGACGTCCCAATATCAAACTTGACCTTGTTCCACGATCTTTCAGGCTCGATCGTGCTGCTTTGAACCTCTACTCTAGGCTTGCAGTAGACGATACCACCTCCTCCTTCCGGCACTGGAAAGAGTGGGACGTTTCCAGGGCGAGCAAATCCTAAAGGGCTGGTATCTGGGGCCATGGCCATGGCCGTGCTAAGCCATGACAGTTGCTGGATAAGTTCGACAATGATCTTGGATGTTGCTTGCATATCAATGTCGAGGTGCAGCTGACGATGCAGACGGCACTTGAATCCGCGAGAACTGCAGAATAGTCGAGAGTAACGATCTAAAGGCAACGTGACACTGGTTAGCCCAGGCCAAAGAAGCAACATACTCTCTCTTGTGATACTTACCGGATGGCGATTCTTCCGGCACAGCTTGCTCGGTATGTTTTTGGTTGTTTGCTTCAATTTCATGCTGCACGCAATCAAGCAGCAGGTCGCCAGTGCGTGGCCAGAATTTCCGCATATAAGTTGACGCTGTCGTAGCATAGGCATAGAATGCAGAGCCAGTAATTGTAACGACGGAGCCCAGCCGCGTTTCCTCACTTCCAAATTGCCACCGAAGGAAAGCTTCTGGAGTCCAGTCTATCCAGATTGAAACATCGTATATAGCTTCCTTGTGGAAGCATGTATGTTCCACGTTGGATGTCTCATCGGCCGTTGAAGCGGGAACGCACTCTGGGCAGAAGCATGGGGGTTCCCATTTGAGTGAGTCCAGCACATGCCGTTCAATGTCTGCCATACGCCCTGTTTCATCATAGTAGAATTGCCTCCGAATTTTGGTCTTCAGGCGTGCAAACTGTTGAGTCGACTCGAAACCATGGATTCGGGGGAGCCCTTTGCTGTAAGACTGCTCGACGGCTGCTTCGCCGTCCTCCATCTGGCTCAGGTCTCTCGAGGAGTCGAGAGCTGATTTCACAGCTGACGTCCAGCCCTTGCGCAATGAGTACGGAAATTCCGACCCTTTCCAAATGGAAGATACAGCTGTCGACCAGAAATGATTCGCAGTGTATCTCGCCCATTTGTCTAACAGCTTGAACATTTTCCCCGCCTCGGCTCCCTCTGCTTTCGAGTCGCATGCGAGCAAGTCCGCTGCGTACTCTTTGAGCAGTTTCTCCATTTGAATCGTCAACTCTTGTTTTGGTCGTCGCTTAATGGCCGCTTCACCCCATTTCGCCACGCCAGTTGCCTCAACGAGGGTCTTTGCTATGTGTTGGGTATGGCGCTGCAATATTCTGGTCTTCAGTCTCTTGGTGTTTTCAAGCATCCTGTTTGAGCTACCTTCACTTTCGACACCTGAGCCCTGCGTGGTTGCCGAGTCCCTGGCCTGTTGTGCAGCTGTGGGTGCGAAGCTGCTACGGTCAAAGGTGCCGGCAATGTCCTTGGCTACATTGCTTTCGTCAGCAACAGGGTTTGGCAATTTTCGTGACCTCTTGTTCCAGAGCCGCGGCAGGTCTTCCTCCGTGTACCCCTTATTCAGTGCATGCGTCTCCCAATAGTCGTCACGGACACGACGCCCATCTTGAATGATCCGGCTGTCAAAGCAGCGGTACATGGACTTGGCAGTCACAATTGCAATTTGCCTCGTGCCCAACGACTGTGGAAGAATCCCCTGTTCGACCAAGTGATCCTTCTCTTCCGTCGTTGCGAAAATTTTATATAAGGCTGGATTTTTGTTGAAGAGCAAGTACGTGTCGCGATAGCCCAGAACTCTAGCGCACTCTATTCCGATCATAAAGAGCTTGTCTCCCCTATCCGGTAGGGTGAAGGTCCGTAGGCGATACACGCGTCCGTCGCAAAGCTGTCCGTTTGGTTGCACCTTCTTCTCCCCAGCGCTGTCGGTCACAGCAGGGAGATATTCATCGCCAGACTCGTTGAGCTCGGATAAAGTGTGGAGTCTGCGGGAGCCCTTTGATGAGGACGTTGGTTCTGATCCCGACGCCATCGAGCCTTCCGTCTCCTGGGATACGGACTGGTCTTCGTTCGTCTTCTGGGTCAGGTTTGAGCGATAATCCCGCGCCGCGTTCACATCGGATATTATCCGCTCGATCTCGGGCACGTTTATAGACGAAGGATCAGCCATGCCGCGGGAGTAGTACTTGTGCTGTCGCGCTCACGCGTGATCAGACAAGGGATTTGCGTATGAGGACTTGGGTCGCAGAATAAGAGCCGGGAAATCTGTATTGTTCAATTGACGATGGTGACGCTGAATACAGGAGAGAAATTCGTGGCTCGACCACGTACTTGTAGGCGCGCCATCCTGCACGTCAGCCTCAGCTCCGGGATCCTGCAGAGGACGAAAAGTGGCCAATTAGCAAAGTCACGCGACGTACTTAAGCGCCGCTGCCTTGCATAGAACGGGGTTTCCCCAACGAGCAGGCAGTTCAGCTCGATACCGACCGCGGCTTTTATGTACGGCGCTTCGTCTGCTTACTCCCGCCTGGGGGCGACAAACATAGCAAGCTGCTGTGTTTTCTACCAGAAGGCGTCGAGCTCTATTGGCTCTTTGACCAATAAGCGCCGATGTTGTATGTAATTCTGGTACAACTTGTGAAATGAATCAAGCATTTGCATTGTGAGAAACCGGACTGGGCAAGCTCTCCCAAGGAAACCCGACTTCTCGACGCTCCAAAACCGGCAGTCTGCCCGTGTTCTTGAAGGAATCGTGCCCCATATGGCAATGACCAAGACAACAGCAAACGCTGAAGGTAGGCCCCTGTAATGTCAGAGCACTGGCCTGTCGCACACTACCTAAATGAAACAGCGTCGCACCAGTGCTGTGCAGCCACAATCACTTGTCGGTCGAGCCATTCGCCTTTAGATCTGGATGACCACGCAAGCACTCCTCATTGGTCTTCCATATATCGTCTTGCACCTCACCCGTTCCAACCATGTCGCAGTAAATCTGAGTACCACATTGCTTGCCTTCTTTGTTCACGATGCATTGCAGGAAATTGTAAGTGTTGAAGTCGAGGGTCGATTCGAGAGTCTTCGGAGCGAAGGCAGCCTCGCATTCGTCGGTTGCTGCAAAGTCGTCATCGATCCCGGGGAGCGTCGTAGGGAACAGGTGACAATACCGCGCTGTGCCACACTCCTCGGCAGTGAATGCGGATATCCCACAAGCCCTCCGCCCTGCGGGAGTGCCATCTTCCCATTTGCGTTTCGGCTCGATTTCCTTGGCATGTGGACTCTTCTCGCGGGCGTTGAGGCATTCGTCGGATGTTTGGTAGTCCGTGAACCGCCTCCCGCCTTGTCCAGCGGCGGCGTCAAAAGCGGCACAATAGATGAGGGACCCGCATTGTTTCTCAATCGGATTCTCACGACACTGAATTGAGTCGGGCCGACCGTAGCCGTCTTCCCAGGGCAGTTTTGCGGGAGCTGCTTCATGGGCGCGGAGGCACTGCTCTCGCGACCGGAACCTGGGAGTCCGCTGTGAGACGAACTGGCCGTTTTGCCCAAAGCCCTTGCAGTAAAGATCTGTCCCACAAGTATCGTACTGGGGGTCTCGCCGACACGCATCCGAGTTGTGAGCAAGTGTCCCCCATTTCCATGGAAACTTGAGCCACGGGTTCTGGTAGGTCTCCTCGCAAGACATTGAGCCGCCGTGCTTGAGGTATTTGGCCCAGATATTGACGTAGTCGGGGGTGGACTCTTTGCAATCCGGATGGCCATTGCACGGGAGCATCTTCTGTTTCGGATTGCAATACACCGGCTCGTCTTCAATCTCATTGTCGTAGATGTCTCGGTTGTGCAAGCTCTGCAGCTCCCCTTCAATGGTGGACAAAACCGCATATCCACGAGTGATTAGACTCATAATGATGATTGCGAGCCTCATTTTGAACTTGGCCCTCTCATGAACACAAAAAGTACTTGACAAAAGCAGCATAGAAGAGATGGTGATGAAGAATGCTTGCGGGATATTTAAAGCTATATACGAAAAAGACAAGGCATATATGATGCCGCCACTCTATATATGCAGCGGTTTACATAAGGCATATAACTCATATCTGTGAGGCAGATTGCTTTATATCTCCGCATCCTTATTTACTACAGTCACATACAGACAACGGGGTCATTGCGCATTTGCGGTCGATGAGAGATGGGGTGCGCAAGTCCTTTCCTTTCCAAGTGCGGAAGCGGACGGTCAGGCTTCATTGCGAAATTTGTCTCTTCTCAAACATACCAAGTCGTTGTGAAAGATCACTTTCGCTCAATTGAACCACTCATGCAAAGGTGCAATGCTTCCAAGCATCAAACGTTCGCTGCTGTCGCGGAAGCTGCAGGGCGGCACAAGTCTATTATTTTTGAGTCGTGCCATTTCCCGAACCCTATTTATTCTTCCGTCTCTGGATTCGTTTTCTCATGGTGTTGGGCTGACCACACTTGGCTTTCCCTCACGAGGTAGGGTCATGTGGTTGCACATAAGCTGCGCATAGGTAGCATCGACCAGTCCACATTGATGGTGGAGTGAATGCTGAATGCATCCAGACTCCTTGGCCCGGCAAGCGTGACGCATATAGCAGGTGCCATCGAAGTCAGCCCCCCTCATTGCCATCTTTAGGCATCAATGCCCCAGCGACTAGTGCGCGAATCGAAAGTCCAATCGTTTGCTGCCTTCATCGGTGGTCGTGGCTAGGTAGTCATCCTTTTCCTGGGCCGTCATGGCGTTCCAGATCTTCTCGCGCGTCTTGTTGCGCCACACGTAGTAGAACTTGATCAGTATCGTGGCGAAAGCATTCCAAGCAATTATGCCCAGAAGTGCCGTGTTGCCCCTCCGGTAATACGGAGCATCATCCTTGCGGTATATCTGATAGATAAGAAGATTAGCTTTGCCATCGTGAATCTGACGTGTCGGACCAGAGGTATCTCACGTTTGAGGAGATGATACTGCTGGCTTGCACTGTCATGTTGTACACAGCGCTGCCCACTGTTCGTGTTCTCACCGTTCCAGCGTTTCTCGACGTCAAGCTGACTGCAAGCCATGTTAGCTGAGATCTCACCCGTGCGTAGATCTTGTTCACTTACCGAGAATAGAGTGAACATAAGGGTAGCCGACAATGAGCGTCGTGAGAGCGTATCTCGCCCAGCTACTAGCATCATCGGGCAGTAGCCTCAAGGCGAGGATCAAGGGAAACACCCAGACTGAGTAGAAGAAGGTGATAAGGAACCGATTGTTGATGCGCTCCGACACCCAGGTCCAGAAGACGAGCTGTATGCAAAAGAGCACATAAGAGGGGATGGTGAGGAGGTTAGTCTGAAAGGTGTCAAAGCCAAGATTCCGCAGATTCAGAGTCATGTAACTCTCGACTGGCGTTACGGGCTGTAGGAGAGTAAATCCAAGCAGATAGATGGGCCAGAGGTCCCAGTCGAGAAGCGCCTGCCAGAGCAGCGGAAGGGTTAGGCCCTGGCGATTATGCATGCCGCCCTGGAATCCGTTAGTTCTATTCCAGGACTACTCGCAGGTATCAATCGGTAGGCGAGCTTACCTTGGCCGGATCATCGCGCAAGATTCGATTCACCATGATCACCTCCTCTCGTTCTGAGAACCAGCCGTCTTTGCCACGGAACCAGCTCGCCGTCTGCGTTGGGCTAGGCGGCAGATAGAACCACGACAGCACGCCGATGATGGCGGTGAGGATCCCTTCAATGATGAAGAGCCAGCGCCATCCGCCCCAGTTTCCAATACCCCTCATATGAAGGACACCATATGCGATGAAGGCGGCAATGATGGGAGTGATGTGAGATGAGGTGTAGAACCAGCTGACACGCACGGGAAGCTCTTTGCTCTTGTAAAAGTAGGAGAGATACAAGATCGCGTCGGGGATGAAGCCGCCCTCGAGCGCCCCAAGAACCGCTCTAGTGGCGAAGAAGCCCGTGCGGTTGCGCATGGCGGCTTGGCAGCACGTCACGGCGCTCCATGATACCATCTGTATGGGGATCCATACATCCGGGCCGAGCTTCTTCGATACCATTTGAGATGGGAGTTCGGCTGCGAGAAAGCACACGAAGAAGATGGTCATGCCCGTGTTGTAGTCGTTGGTGTTTAGGCCAAGATCGGGAAGCATGTTGTCCGAAAGCGCCTGGCCAATATTTCCGCGGTCCAATTGGAGGGCGAAAAACATCAGGCAGACCCAGGAACAGATACGGTAGTCCAGCTATGTGTGGTGTGAGCCTTTTTCATCCTTTCGGTTGGTGGTTTATGGCGCCCTACCTTTCGTACCAGCCGCTGCTCCTCCTTGGGATCCCACTCCGCCGTAGGATCGTATCGATGTCGGCCTTCATACTCCGCGATTGGCTCGTAGTGTCCAGCGGAGGCTCCTGCTGCCACGACCGCCGCTGTTGTATGAGGCTGTGGCTTGGACTCGGATGATATCGACGGCGTTGTGTCGGAGAGGTTTGGGCTCACCTCCTCAGGAGGGACTTTGCCAATGGATGACCCCGACCGGCGCGGCATCTTGTGTCAAGCTTTAATCACCGCTTCTAGCTAACAGATACGAGAAAGAACTGACGGCTACATCGCATTCTTTATAGCCGCTGATCGGCGTGGGTAGAGAATGTCGTCACCGCGTTGGACTGCAGCTAGGCCATGAAGAAACATGGCCAGCCATGTTACCCCACGCCCATGCGCATCCCGCGCATGAAGTCGCCTCCGGTAACCCTCCGGTCCATCACATCACCACCAGGATTCCATGGCCACACGCTGGACCCCGAAGTCTGTGCCAGGTGGAAAATAACCGCTCCGGTTCAAGCATCTCCGAGGGGTGTGCCTCGCGCCATAGCTGGCAAAAGCCACTGCGGGTTAAACGTGCAACGAATCGTGGATGAGATCTGCTTGGAAATCCAGAACACAGAGGGCCGCGCTCTCTGTGACCGTAATGTACATGCGCGGGCATTGGTGTTGATGCCGGCGATTAGGTGTTAGTGTTGCGGAGTGGGCCGATCACGTCAACTTGGTGAGAGATCATCTCACACCAACCCTGCATATCCGCTAGCGCCTAATGCCGGTGGTACAGTCTAGCCTTGCAAGCCTTGCAACGCTGCTCAACTACTTGAAGCCCATGGGCGCGAAAGTTTAGATGGTTGTACCAAATTTGGCCTGGCAAGTTTTGTGAGGACTTTCGCCACGGACAGCTCACCGTCGGACGGGTAGTTGAGATGGAGTAGCCCAGCTGATGTTTCACATGCGCTCAACGACATGCTTTTAATGTCTTCAACCACCAAGCTCTCTGTAAATATAGTGAGATGCTCAATAACGCTCTATGGCTCCCTCATTCACCAGTTCCAGATCAAGTACAGTACCTCGTTGGGATGCCCGCTCCGCATTACCCGCAGCCTGCTACAAGAGATTTGGTCCGACGCTCGCAGCGTCACGAATCACGATACTCTTGTTACACGGCTACTGGAATCTTGGGTAATGGCTTTCTCACCGTAATTTATGCCGCGGGAGCAATCTGTGGTGTCCATATAACAAGCTGCCTAACAAGTGGAATCATGAATGGTCCGGGGTCTGGTGGTGGAATGCCCTCCGGGGTACTGGGAATAGCTGTCAACTTAACTTTGATGTAACTTGCTTTAGACTCAAATATAAAACATTGATATTGGCCCCTGTGGGAACGAGTCGCATGCCGTATCGCTGCCTCTGACGATGATGTCTGTGCGTTTTGATTCACGGCGGCCCCAGCCCTGACTTCTACCTCGTCCCTCCGTCGAGCTGTCTCTATCCCCGACCCCGAGATGAGGCAGACACAAGCAAAGCCACAATGCAAGGCTCTATGGTTTGCATGGAATTTGTGAAAACGCACTAACACTTTATTGTAGGTAGACTCATCAGTCATCAACCCCTTCTAGTCGCTCGCTCCCGCCCTCGCTTCCAGCTTCGCCTCCTCTCTTTGCTTCTTCTTCGCGGCCTTGGCCTTGACTTCTGCCCGCCATGTCATTCCCCAACGCAGTATAGCCAATAGCGGTAGAAAACAGACAAAGTAGAGCCCCCCAATGAGAGTAAAGGCACCCCCGACACCCATGGCGTTAATCATCGGCACGACCGCGGCACTCGCTCCCGCGCCGACAAGGCACCGGGTGAGGTTGTTGGCCGCCGTCGCGGTGCCGGCCTTACCTGGGTGAATGTCAATGAGAAGCACGTTGGTCGCGTTGCTGTATCCAATCATGCCGATGCCGATGAAGACGCCGATAACGCACAGCACCGCAACGTGCGCAACCGCGTGAATAGCCCAGCCCCAGGCGATGAGGCTTGCGCCTCCGACGGCGAGCAAGGGAAACCCGATTTCAAGCCTGACACGCTCAATCGGAAAGTTGGAAAGATCCTGCTGTCGGGAGCGGTCGTAGGGGATGCCGAGCTTCACGCAGTGTCGCTTGTAGTTCCAGTTGATCATAGGGCCGACGATAGCTGCAGCGCCGACAGATCCGCCGGCCAGAGGAAGGTACATCAGACCGACCTTGATCTCGTCGTAGCCATAGCGGTCCGCGAAGAGAGACGGCATGGCGGACGCGATGCAGTAGAAGCCGGCGAAGACCAGGCTGCTGGTCCAGAGCAGCAGAGCAGTCTGCTTCTCAAACAGCATGAAAAGCGAGCCAAGGATATTCGGCGCCTTGAACTTAAACTTGTTGCTAGCAGTCGCTGTGCTAGCCGTTTCGCAATCCTGAACATGCTGTGCCCGCTGCCGCCGACGACGGGTCACAATCTGCCACACCGACCGATACAGAGGCGGCGGGTAGATAGAGCCGTCGCCGACAATATGCCTGCATGTTTCCGGTAAGAACAACACAATGAGCACGACGGTGGCGCCCGACGTGATGACCAGGAACCAGAAGATGGATCTCCAGCCAAGGTACTGGGACAGTAGCCCGCCGATTACGGGGCCGAGCGCCGGAGCCAACACGGCCGGGACGACGGTGAACCCAATGTACTGCCCTCGCTCCGCCGAGGTGACCAGGTCCGCCACCACCGCGGTGCAAAGCGCGACGGTTGTACTCGAGCCGGCGGATTGCAGGCACCGGAGGCCTAAGAGGGCGTTATAGTTGGGTGCGAGAGCGAGCCCGATGTTGGCGGCAATGTAGATGACGAAGCAGACGACATATGCCGGTCGTCTTCCGCCGCTGTCGGCCAGCGAGCCGATGAACATGGGCGTGATGCCTTGGAAGACCATGTACGTCGTGATAGTCAGATTTATCTGCGAGCTGGTGACATCGAAGTCGTTTGCAATGACTGTCAGAGCGGGCAAGTATATTTGCGCTGTGAGGGGCGAAAAGAAGGCCGTGAGGGCGGCGGCCAGAACCATGGCCCGTTTCTGCCATGTCGTGAAGACGGAGTAACGGCCAACTTGGTGATCTTGCACCTCTGCACTCTGATTCCCGGCGCCTTTTTGTTCTTGCTTTCGCGCTGGCAGCTCCTCTTTGACGGTCTCTGGAACCGGTTCCGGAGTGGTTGAGGTCATTGTGGTGGTGGCGATGTATGTGGCGGCTCATTCTGAGAAGCACAGACGATGCAGCAACTTCAAAGCACGGCCCATGCTATAGACAGATGAAACAACGTATTCTGCGGCCTCAGTTACAATGCTGCTCCCGTCTCCAGTCCGGCAATGCGGCTCCGGCGGCCGGTGACAGCCTGTATATCCAGTCGGCGCCGGCTCGGTGCCGACGTCGGCAAGATGCTACACACGGCACCGACACTCGGTACTTGGCCGGGCTGCGCACTCACCGTGTCCCATAAAGTAGCCTTTATACCCATTGGTAGTTAATTAGGCACTAAAAGACCTGTGGGAGCATTCAGTAGTTATTACGGGCCTTGAAGCGGTCGCGCTGCCCAATAGCGGCAACTCGCTGCTCAATACCGCAGCAGCCATGATGAAAACGGAGTCTGGTGCATATTGAACAGAACATCCTCGGCGGCCATTTCGGATTTCGATAGCGAGTCTCAACAGTCAATTCCTTGCCATGGACTTAAGGGTACTTACGACCGGTGTATCCTCCGACTTTCCGTCTTCGCGACCGCCTGGGCCTGGCGATGCAGTCGAGCATACCCACCAAACGTCATTGGATGCGCCTGACGTGCCTAATCGCCGTGACGTTTCATGATTCATATACCATCAGCAGAAGGAATCTCACATAAATCGATTAACGAAAGTCTAAGCTATTCACCAGCTCACCGAGTGGCCGCTTCAATCTCAATTTCTCTGGCTGATATTCCCTCCTGCACGGGTTGAATGATGGCGTCAAGCAGAACGAAAGCATACTGTCTAAGCCAACGACATAATGAATCGGCGGGCCAGAGTTGCAGAGCTGTGAAAGTCGTGTTCTCCCCAATAGCAGTTTGAGAGTTCATCGCCAGCCACTCGTGAAACGCACTGAGAGCGGTCCTCGCGTGGATCGGTCTCAGCATGAGACAGGTGCAGCGAGTTAGCTACATCTTTTTTTGGAAGGCCAGGTTCTGAAGGCTACGGAAGCCGGCTTCTCAAGGTCCTCAAATCTTGCACCTCGCTTTGTAACCAAATGCCCAACAGCGGAGCGTGATCCTGCTGGCTTCCTGAATGCGATGCTCTTTGGTACCGTTGAACGAAGTCGTTCCATGTGGCCTGAACGAATGGGGTCGTGAACTCGAGTGTTGCCGGATCTCTGCGCTCCTCAAGTCGGAACCATTCTAAACACAGACGCATTACAAAGACCTTGGTCCAGGCGGAATGGCAGATAGCACCCACTGCAGGTAGGTAGAGAGTCATATCAGCATCATTGTAACCTATATGTTACCACACCAGCATGAGAGTAGCTCTGAAACATGCCATCTATGATGCGATCGCATGCAGCGCGTTGCCTCACCCCCTTTTTGTAGTTGTCCCACGCCCAGATGCCAGCTGCGGCTGCGACTGCGGCAAAAACGAAAGGGGCTCCGATTGTCGCTCCACCAACAACACCGACAGTAGCAGCGCCAGTCGTCGCAACTTCAGCTGCAGCTGCGGCCGCCGTGGCAGCACCAGCGCTACCGCCTCCAAGAATTGCACCACCACCTGTGGCAGCACCAACATTGGCAGCACCGGCAGCGATGGCAGCACCGACGGCAGTACCACCTGCAGTACTTCCCGCTGCTGCTGCTGCCACTGTGGCTGGCACGGCAGCCGTAGCAGCGCCAGCAGTAGCGGCTCCGGCCGTTGCAGCTCCGGCCGTTGCGGCTCCAGCGCTTCCAACAGCGACCGCAGCGCCAGTACCCTCTCCAAGGGCAATCGCGGTTGCAACTACTGAAGCCAGAGACGCTGCAGCACCGGCGGCCGCCTTCTGATGATATTGGTCCATGATTTCCAATAGCGGCTCGAGCAGGTCGGCCCTCGCGGTGAGTAAATGCGACGCTGCCACGGACATTTGGCAAATGGCGCTGCATGCGCCGTGCATCCATTGCAGGTCGCGAAGTAAAGTCGGGGCGGTGTGACCTGTCAGGTTGAAAGCCATACGTTAACTGTGGAATAATACTGGAAACGAGGCCGGCTCTAGATCTCAGCTTACCGTCAATAGTCGCGAATTCGGTCAGCATACGATCGTATTTGCCCTTGAAGTCGGCAAGGGATATCTCGTAGTCTCGCGTCGCATCGCTGATATCATCACTGGGCGAACTGAACCGCGTGGCCCTCTGGCGCTGTCGGCCACAGTCAATGAGCGTCCCACCAGCTTGGGGTTGCCTAAACGAACCGAGAACCACCTGAAGACCCTACTGACAGCGGGTATGGCAGCCATCATGAATCGAGGCAAATCGAGGTTGGTGTCGATGCTCACACCGAGGAGATGCGGCATAAAGTGAAAGGTTTCTTGCATCCCGAACAGTACCGCGATGCAAACCACCATAAGCCTACGATACCGTTAGCATAATATAATCGCCATTCAACCATAGACTCGGCAAAGCAACGCAGCCTAAATATAAATGGGCGACTGACGGAGGCACGTAGTACGGGTGGCCCTCGTGCATATACTCCTCCGCAAGGCCCGCGAGGTACTCGGGACTGTTCTCGATGATATCCCGAAAGAACGTCGCGGTCCAATAAGTCTCGAACATCGAAGAGATTGGAATGATTCCCCAAATGGAGCGCTGAGTCAACGATTCGAGGCGTCCACGCCTGCCCTCCTCAACATCCATCAACCCTCGACAGAGATCCTTCATAGCGACGTCGAGAGAAGCGATAACACTGGAACTGTTCGAGCTTCCCCGGGCTCGCATTCGAACCTAGGCAATTACATCAAGAAGATCAGCTCCCTGGCGGATTCATGATAGCGAGAGCACCAGACTGTACTTACCTTTGCCACGTAACTGTTGTGATCCTGCTCGACGGAGCATTCATCAAGCTCGGCCAACCTCGACCATCGCTTGACGTTCTTCGCCAAGTCGCTGACAAAGTCAGCTACTGGGTCATCCTCGTCCGTGTCCAGGATGATGTCGCATATCTTGAAGTCGAACTCTCTCCTGTCCCCAGTCCCCTTCTTCGGGAAGCTACCGTAGGACGCAGACGACTTCTCGCTCTTAACCCCCATGCTGATGGCTAGGCGAACACGTACTTCGGAATGCTCAGGCCTATTCTCGGTCGAGATGGAGCTTGTCCTTTGGCATCTCGGCTGGCAGGCCATCGCCTGCCTTTTGGAGGCCGATGGGTTCTAGGGTCCGGAACACAGCCGTCGCCTGTCACATCGCTCAGCCATTCTTCAACAGGCATTACGTTTCAGCTTCGCGGCAATTTGGAGACAAACTCGGCCAATCGCCGACATTCCGCAGCCGCGCGTGAATGCATTGGTCTCCCGCGTGAGGGGTTGTTACACAGCTGTCAGTTTTGTTGCCCGAGGAACTGTTACACAGCTGGCAGGGCGCCCAAATCCTGACGGGATCCGGTCTCGACTCTCGAGATTCGACGTTTAAAATACCGTCAGGTAGCACAAGTCCTGACGATCTCCGGTCTCGACATTTGACACTTAAAATACCGTCGGGCCGCGACCAGAGCCGCAGGGGCAGTGCGGCTGTGCCGAATCTGCAGCGGCATTTTGTATCCTTTGGGCATCAAGCGTCGAGGTACTCGAAGGCTGCTGCTTGAACTCGAGTCCTCCGTCTCGCTCCTCGCGCAGTTCATCGCAATCGAAGGCGTCTGGTGCAGCTCGCGGTTTGGACATGGATGACCGGATCATACTCAGTCGGTCCATGTTGGACGAGGATAATGTGCTAGCCGTCCCTCCGCCTTTGGACGCTGGCGCGCTGCGAGCGTCCATCATGGCAAGCCTCGATCAGTACATCTCACTACTTGCGGCCGCTGGACATGGATTCGGCCCTTCAGATGGTCTGCCTCCTGCGACCCGATCCTGCGCGCCTGCAGTAAACACATCGGCTGACTGCGTCTCCCAGCGTCGAATCCGACTGACCACGGCGCAATACGCTTCCGCCTGGTCCAGACTGGTTTAGTCAAAGACATTCGACAGCTCTCTCGCCTGGCCAGACAACTGGAAGACCTCTTGCTGAAACGGCGACCCAGGGTGTGGATAGTTCATACCTCACTGTAAGCCTCTCTCCTGCTGTTCCGTGTGTCCATCATGAGTCCGCCGTACTTACGCACCGTTTGTTTCAGAGCTGTCCTTTGCCATGCTGTAATGCTCCGACTCATTCCCAGTGTGATGGCGCCGTGGGTGCGACCTTGGAGAACCTCATTTGAGTTGGGCCAAAACCAGGCGCTTCGCTTCGGGTGGACAACAATTGTCTTCAACTTGCTTCAATGGTCAGGGTATCCGATCGCAATTTGCAAGATTGCCGTCGCGGAGAGGCATATTAGTGACGTGAGAACTCTAAGGGAAGATCTCGACGTGATGGCTGTGGACATTGAGAAGGGGGCTCAATTGGGGGATGCGACTTGTTTGTCGGATGAGTCGTGGAAGGACATCTGCTGGAGCTCATTGAGGGCCTAGAGGGAAACTTTTGCGTTCCCATAATCCATTATGCTGCGAGCAGACTTGCCAGACAAGTGAATGAGCTCTATGGCCCTCATATTTTTGACGACCTGCCGTCATGTTTGGCCACTGAGCATGTGCAAGTCTTGGATTAGGCCGTAGAGAACTTCAATACGCGGCAGAAATCAGATTCGAAACAATGGCTGACTGTCGATAAAGGCACTAAGCCGACGACCTCATTGGGAGGATTTCGGGTCACATCCCGATTTGGGGGGCGCCGAGTGCCGGGCTGGAGAACGCTTGACTCGCGGCTCGCGCGTTTGACACCTGCGTGAACTTGGCTGCGCAACTCACACATCACCCCTCGTGATTGCCTTGCTCGAACGAACAGACGCGTCAATAGCACCCACAATACGATGGCTCAAGCAAACTCGGCCTGGGGTTTCTATCTCATTGTACGCTACCTCGCGACGCCAAGTACTCTCTATTTGCACATGGACGGCGATTGACAGCAGTAGGAAAACTACGACCCCTCGACCCCCATACCCGTCCTGGCCGACCGCTTCATCTCTCTCGGCGACGAGGGCCGCAAACCCTACTACACCTCCTACCTCTCCCTGCGAAGCACCCCCATCACCGACTTTCCCACCCTGCCCTGTACCTATCAGACCCCGCAGGAGCGCAACCCGCCTCAGGGGCAGCCCATCTCCGTGCGGACATACTACGGCGACGAAGGCGGCAGCGGCAGCGGCATTGACCGGCTACGGAACATCATCGGCGACGCTACCTTTGACGACGTGCGCTACGAGGGCCTGTCCTCGCGAGACTTCCTGAACCGCATCCCGCAAAAGATTGAAGCATACGGGTTCGATCGCGAGGGGAACCAGTTCCTCCTCGACCCTGCGGACAATGAGCCCGACTACTCTGACCCAGACAGCGACCCCGACTCCGAAGACGACGGCTCGGATATCCCCCAGCGCGTGCTAATCATCGAGTATGACCGGGAGGCGCAGACAACGGGCTGGGTGAAGGTCACTGCGTTTGGTGCCAGCGGCGAGGTCGCGCTCGAGAACAGGATCAAGGCTGGTAAGCTAGGCGACGCGGTCGGGGCGTTTGCGAGCGGCGTTTCTCTGGCTGAGCATAGCGGGGGATGGGGCAAGGTAGGGAAGGGCGATGGATGGGATGTGGAGGACTGGGGGATGGGCCATGGTGTCTTGCCGCCTGGCCTTCAGGAGATATACGATGCGCAGCGGCGTGGGGCGGAGGCCGCTTCAGGGCAACAGGCGTGAGCGGACTGAGGCGGGCCATAACTTGCTTGGTCTTTATGAGACTTGGTGTGCAAGTGTACTCACAAAGCGGTATGAATTGCGTTCTGCTGAAGCAAAAGAAACGAACAACATTGAACTCCCTCTCTACAATGTACGTCAGCTGTCTACGTAGGAGGACTCCTCGGAACATCATTTAGGAACGTCCCCGAACCGAGCTTTCTATTCATCTACGAGCATTCTATTACGATTATTAGTTGCATGCGTTGTGTTGGCCATTATTTGTGGCGTTCGCGCTAATTCTATGCGCCGAATTTGCCCGTCTCGTGGAGGCGCTGCGTGTACGCCTTGAGGTCCCGTTCCAGGCTGTCGACCAGCTCATCGGGGACGACCGTATCTTGCCACGAGATCCCAGCCGTGAGGATGCCCTTCTCGGCGCTCGCAATGTTAACGCCCAGCGCAGGGCCGGCGACCATGGAGCCGTTGGTGAAGAGCAGCCGCGTAATGGCCCATGTCGCGTCGGGTGGCGGCCTCGGCAAGACGCCAATGTTGCTCACTTCCCATGACTCGGAGCGAGTCTTGCCCTTCTTCTTCTCCCAAAAGTCGAACCAGTCGCCTACGTATTTTAGGAGGCCGTTTATGTCGTCCTTGGGCAGAGTGGCGAGCCTCTCGACGAGCTCCGTCTTGATCCGCTTTGCATTCTGCCAAATGAGTGCGTCGAGGTCTGTTTCGGGTCGGCGAACGGCGGCGACCGCTTCTGCCGAATACTCATGCGAGAAGCTGGTGATGAGACAGCGGAGAAGGTCCTTGAGTTCGGGATCGGCGTTGGGGCCAAAGTATGGGCGCAGATTGATGGGCGTGCTGGCAGCGAACGATTTGGCCTCGTCAGTTGCGAGATTGCGTGCGTAGGACACGAGCGTCAGCGCGTGGAACAAGCCAGTGAGGGTTGTCGAATGCTCTCGGCAAGCTTTGAGGAGGCTGCCAATGACCTCGTGCGGGATGTCGACGGGGCGCACGCGAGTTTTGTGCGGTATGCTGAAGTCAATGGCTTTGCCGTGCCACGGGACAATCTTGCGCGGCTTCAGCATGTCGGGGCCGAGCTCGGTCCAAAGCGTCTTGGCCACATAGGGAATGCTGTTGGTGAAGGGAATGACATCCTCTTGCGCCTCTGGGAGCTTGGGGGCGTTTGGGAATGAGAGCAGATGAGGCGCATCAGGAGAGCTGCAGGATGGCTGGGACGGGTCGTTCAGCGCAGCCAAGAGCAGCTCATGGAACCTTCTACCGCTGGTCCCATCCATGAGGGAGTGGTGGAACGCGAAGACAAGGTCAACGGACTGGATTTCTTGGTTGATGTCGGGTCCGGGTTGCAGGACCGCCAGGCGCCATGGCGGCCGCGTCTCAAGGTCCGGCCACAGCTGATCGTGGTGCCATCCCTGCTGCTCAGCGACGAGCGCCTCGTACTTTTCCGCCGATTCGCACGCAAGAGTCTTGAAGAAGACGTGGTTGCGCAGGTCAACTTCCTTCAGATGAGAGAAATGGGCCTTGTTAGTGTCCTGGCCCAAGATGCCGACGCGGAGCATAGGCTGGGCGGCGACGACGGTTGCAAGAGCCGGATACAGCTTGGCCGTATCCAATTGGGCTTGCGCAGCTGACGAAGCGTTTGCTTGATACCTGCAGGTCACCGTGACGCAGCGGTAGATGCCAATGTGGTGGCGCGTGGACGAGAAGTGCTCACTGCGGACGTTAACTCGGGAGGCCTCTTCGGCGACGGAACGGTCACGACTCACATGTGCGACAGGCGCCGCAATGGCGTGGGTTCAGCGGCGGGGGACATGATGGGGGAGTGATCATGGAGCGACAGATGGAGTTGCGGGATGAAAGCTGAGAGCCATGAGTCCGTCAAGAGAATGGACTTGGCAAGTTGTATGTCAACGGAAGGCGCAGGTTCTTAACCCCAAAGGGTAGACAAGTGAAAGTGGCAGCGCCAGGCGGGTGGACGCGTCTGCGTGGAGCCAGGATTGTCGCCGACGGTGCCGAGTTGTCGCGAACCGATGAGCACTACGAAGTATGCAGTATCAATTCACACGGTCGGAAGAACATTGACAGCTGGGGAGAGGTTGATGGCTGCGAGAGAGGGAATGGGAGCCCTTCCCTTATTCCTCCATCTTCATCCATGGCGCCGTGACACATGCTGTTCACTGACAGTCGGCAAGTGCTACCGAATAAGTTACCTACCTGCCACAGTGGTCGAACAGCAATTGGTTCGTGCGGCCAAAGAAGGAGTACTTTGTCGCGCACCATTTCACGCAGGACCATCATGTACCGTGTCCCTTTCGTGAATGACTCAGCACGTTTCCTCGAGCTCGTGGCGGGCAAACATCGGGGGAAACGGGCGGCCCGCGTCGCGTGTGAATGGAAGCTGTCAGGCAGGTGCGAACCAGTTCCAGTGCCAGCCCCACCTGCCGTGCAGTGACTTGACCACCGGCCGTGGCCCAAACAAGAATTGGAGGCACTGGGGAAGCAGCCGCGACCGCCAACGCGCCTGCCCCATCGCACCACCGGCAGCTGTGCGTCAAGCCCATGCCCATCCGCCAACCAACTTGCCTGACGCGCGCCCCGATTGTAGATGCAGCTCTCCTTCACAACACAATAAGGCACAATACAACAACGGCCATTCCCCCCACGCAGACTTGTTCTTTGCTTCCTTTCCTGCCGACACGAACACCACGCACGCATCGCAAGCTCGAGTCCCCGCGCTTTTTCTCCAACGCCGTCAACCACGACCATCGCGACCCGCCACCTCTTTTTCCGGACCTGCGACCAGCTTGCCATGACGCGCCGTATCGACCAGCGCCAGACGACGCCATAGTTTCCACGCAGGCGCGGCGGCAATGCCCGCGCTCGCAACTCGTTCAACTGCCCGGGTTTACTTACGGAATTAATCGACGCGATGGAGCTGGGCGAGGGCGAGGGCGATCGGCCGCCTGGGGCAGCACGAACGAGCGGATCGCGATCTGCTTCAAACGAGCTTCGGGTCAAGCATGAGGGAAGGAAACCACTTTTCGGAGGCAACAAGACCATCGTCCGGAGGGACGACCCCAGCCGCCTTTCAGACTCGCCGCGAGCGACATCAAGATTCACCGCCGGCCTTCCGGCGCGACAGCCGCTGACCGCTCAGCGGCGCACCAACTCGGAGCCGCAGTCTGCGTCGAGGGAACGGCGAGACAGCAACAGCAACAGCAACCTGAGCGTCTCGTCGTCGGGCGGCACGCGCATCCCGCGGCCGAGCAGCGCCACGTTTCGACAACGACGGCCGTTATCGCTGTCCGAAGCGTTCAGGCTGGCCGAGGACGAGGAAAGGGCCGCACAGGGCGTCGATGGCTCGCCCAGTCCCGCCCCACGGACCTGGCGGGCTAGGGGCGGCCAGGACGAGGCGAAGCAGAGGGAGCAGCTGAGCCACGACCATCTCGACACCAAGGCGCGAAGCAAGCAGTCGGAGAAACCAGCCGGTGGTCTGTACTCACGGGAGCGTTTCGAGGAACTCAAGAATAGGGCCCGACAAGGTTCCGGCGCTGCCACGGATCCCGACTCTAGCGATAGCCTCAACATTCCGGCGCTCGTCCCCGGCATCGAGGACGTGCCCATCCGTTCTATAGAGACCGATGATAGGCCCGCAGTCCGGTCCCCGCTCAAGGGCGCGGAGAACAGATCACCACACAAGAGCTTTGGCTGGGGCGAATTCGACGAGGACTTTACGGGAGGCGACCTGCAGATATCCGACAGCCCTAGGATCAAAGTCGGAAGCAACAAGCCTTTTGCACACCGCCCCTCGCTGATAAGCAGCGAGGAGAAGCTGGCCGTCCGTTCGCCCGCACGGCTGACCCAGCCCGGCTCGCGCAACACCAAGCTGGACGAGATTAGAGATCGCGAACGCGAGTTGACGAGCAGGGTGCTCGCCGAGCGCCCGCAGCCGAGACAGCGGAATTCTAGGCTGGACGAGATCCGCGCACGCGAGAAGCTGGCGGAGCAGCAGATACCCATACCGAACCGAAACCTACCGCGGCCCAAAAACACCAAACTCGATGACATCCGCCAGCGAGAGAGCGAGGGGCTCTCGCGAAAGGCTTGGGCCGCGGCGCGCCTCGAAGAGATTCGAGAGCAAAACTCCATGTCGCGCTCGCTGTCGCCCGAGGAGGCAAGGCCACAGTCGAGCCGAGAAGTGCGGAAGACGACGCCGGGAAGGATACCCACCAGGTCCAAGTCGGCATACGAAGAGGGCGGCGAGAGGATACCCGACACGCCCGTCACCGTCTACAAGAACCAGCGCAGCGCGGGCGTCGCAACCGCCGTCGAGCCTTCCGCAGCTGCGGGTTCGGGTCCCGCTGCCGACAACCCGGACAAGAACTTGGATTCATACGACTGGCTGCGGCGGTTGGCGAGGGCCACAAGCGAAAGCCCAGTCCCCGAAAATGGAGGCAAGAAGAAGACCGAGAAGTCGGAGCAGCCACGCAGTGAGCAAGAGGTTGTGTCCGAAAAGCTCCCGAAACCCGCCCTGTCCAGGCGACCCTCCAGCGACGATCGCAAGCCAGCCCCAAGCACGGCTGTCAACGGCAGAAATGACAACCCGCGGCTGACGGTGGGCTTTGCCGGCGTCCCGCGGGAGCAGTCGAGCGACTCAGCTAAGAGCAAGAGGTCGAGCTTGCACTCCGATCAGGACCCGACGGACAGATATGATTCTGAGATGAAATTGTTTGCTCCGCACGAAAACCATTCAGAGCGAGGCTCTGTCCGCGCGCCCTCACCGCCGCCGGACTTGGACATTGATGACAAGGTCACGGAAGCGACGCCTAAACCGCCAAGGCCTGACCCGTTGACCATGCCGACGCCCAAAGTCACGGGGGCCTACGTCGAAACTCCTGCCACCGTAAAAGTCGACAAGTTACCGGAGCACGCCACGATCCCAGACGCGGCAGACGACCAAGTGCTGATACCCGCGATATTTCGTGAAAGAAGGACGAACAACGACCGGAGAAGTCGAGATCACGACTCGGCATCCGACCCAGGTGTGAGCGACAGCAAGGACAGCGAGGCAACGACTAAGAGACGGCCACGTTCACGATCGCTGCCGCGTCGCAGACCGCCTCTCAAGAACTCGGCCAAGCTTCCGTCTGTTCGCGACGACCTGCTCGAGCTGCAGCGGATGCACAACATTGACGACTCAACCATGGACGACCTCGAGGATATCCTGACGGGTCGCAAAGCGGCGTCCCCGAAACTCGAGCAGATCTTGAAGGAGATTCCCCCCAACACCAACGAACCTACCCTCAAGCGCGAGCCTACCGAGGACGTTGCGCCAACGAGCAAAAAGGTCTCCGACAAGGACACATCCGAGGGCGAGTCGGCGCTCTTTGATCGCCTGACGCAGAGACTGCGGACTGGGCTGCTGGGCATCCGCAGCGCCAAGAAGGGCATCGAGCGGCTCGAGGACCAGTTTGCGCACGCGGGAAAGAGGTCGACCTCACCGAGCTCGGATGTGACGAAGACAAAGCCCATCAAGCAACCTGTCACACTACCCACCAAAAGCCACGCGCACGCCACGCCAGCGAGACACGAGGAGCAATGCCCCGACTGCCAGGCGAAACCCGCCCCCGGGGTCGCTTACATTCACCTCCCCGTCCCGCGCCTGTACACCACCACGCCGCGATTCCGCTTCACCTGGATAGGACTTCTGCTCTTTACGCTCTCGGTGTGGTACGCAGCCGAGTCGGCAATGTGCGCCAAATTTTGCCGCCCGACGAGGTGCTCGCCAGCCAGGCCATGCATCTACTCGTACCTCGACCCCACGTTCGGCTCTGCCCTGCCGGTTAAGCTCGACCAGTGGACAACGGGGGGCCACGGGCGGGAGCTGTGGGAATGGGCGGCGGAGGAGCTGGGCGACTTTGCCGCCGACGTGGAGGACGCGCTCCGGGGCCGGCACATCACCGACGTCCCGCTTGAGGCGCTGTCGACGCTTCAGAGGCGGCGGCACAGACGGCGGCTTCGCAAGAAGGGCCTCGTCCAGCCATGGCCGGACCCGTCGCCCGAGCAGCAGGCCATCTGGGACGAGTGGCGGCGCGTGCGCCTGGCCAGGGAGCGCGCCCAGGAGGCACGCCAGATGGGCTACGAGGTGACCGCCGACGAGTACGAGGACACCGCTGCCGCTGTGGGAGACGACCAGCCCGCATGGAACTGAGCGGACGTCATGGCTGCATTGTACTGGGGCGCGCAGTTCTGTTCTTTTGCTGCATACTGTTTTTACTGCAGGGCGTTTGTATCGGACACGCACGAGGGGGGGAGTTTAGCGGAGCTTGGAGCCATACCTGTTATCTATGTACTCTACTTCCCTCCCTCCTCTCTCTAGGACTTGGGGATATTGACGGCGCCCGCCCAACAACCAATCATAACAACACGAGAAAAGGGAGCGAGAGGGGGGGTCTTGCGGGCTGGGCGGCAATCCGGTGCGCTGGCGTTTTTGCGGCGGCTGCTTTTTCAAAACGGACTTGGAGAAAGGGGGGGACGGCCGGACGGACGGCCGGACAAGCAAGCAAGTGGATGGATGGATGGGTGGATGGACCTTGTCGATTGATGACGACGATGTAGGAAAATTAGCAAATGCGAGATGAAGCAGTTGCAAGAGCAAGAGCAAGAGCAAAGCAGAAGACGCAACGGCCATTTCCGCCGTGCCGTGCTCGATTTTTAAAGAGTTCTATCGTCACTCGCGTGGATATGCAAACGCCTCAAACACCATCCCAATGGTTCCCGCGTCCCCAGCGTCCCCTGTATCCCCGTCTCCTCTTTTCGCACCGGCCCATCGAGCCACCAAGCTGCAGCAAATTCGCACGGCCTGCCTTTTCACTCTGCGTCATACGCCCGCGCTCTTTCAGTCCTTGATGCCGCCCCAGCCATCCTCCGAATCATCATCATCATCGTCTCCAGCATCACCCATATCCTCATCCTCATCGTCCTCAGCATCGGCAGGCGTACCCCATGGTAGGCGCTCATCGTCGTAACTCTCCTGCGCGCGCGCACGCACGCTCTTGACGGGACTGCGGCGCAGGCGCTCCACCATGTCCCCGACGCGGGCGACAAACGCCGCGCGGCGGGCCTCCTTGTCGGCGTCGGCGGCGGACGTCAGCGGGGTGAGGCAGCCCTCGCGCTCCAGCTCGTCGACCCAGAGGTCCAGCACGTGCAGGCGCAGGCCCAGCGCGGTGCGGAACTCCTCGTCGACGTCAAAGGTGCACTGCTCCAGCACGCGCATGACATCCTCGACGGGGTCCCTGCCCTCCTTGTACTCCCGCTCCTCCTCCTCCTCCTCCTCCTTTCCCTCGTGCTTCGCATCGGCAGGGGTAGCAGGATCGCAGTACCCCCGCTCCCTCACCCAGCGCAGCTGCGCGGCAAAGACGCGGCGCACGAGCAGCAGGAACTTGTCCATGCGGAGGGCGTCGACGCGGGGCCACTGGGCGGAGAGGACGGCCCAGAAGCCGCGCAGCCAGGGGGCGGCGCAGCGGGGGTCGCGCAGCGAGGTGAGCAGCAGGGCGGCGAGGTCCGCGGCGAGGGCCTGCTGCGGGCGCGGGCGGTCCGTCATCCAGAGGGCGTAGTAGAGGCCCGTCCAGAGCTTGGCGGCCTCGGCGCCGGCGAGCGGCGGGCACGCGGAGAGGAAGGACTGCAGCGCGGAGAGGGACTGCGTGCGGAGCTTGCGGTCTGTGGGCATGGCGATGCACTGGTCAGCGTCTGTCTGTTTATATGTCTCTCTGCTTCGTCTTGCCGTCTGTCTGGCTCGCAGGCTGGCCGGCTGGCAAGCTGGCGGACACGGACGCGGGGCTTGAGAAGGGGAGAAGAGGGCCGGGACGACGTACCGCTCGAGGCGAGGTTCTTGATAAACGGCATCTGCGCCGCCTTGGCGTCCGCGGCGGCGGCCATGTCGGGCAGTCACGACACCCGTCGGCTCACTTCAGCTCGACTAGTCTCTATCGCTGCGCGCGCACGAGCACTCAAACCTCGACCCACGACAAGGTCAGAAGCCGCTTGCTCGTCCGTCGTATGGGTGACTCTCTGCGCCGATTGCGCTCGGCCTGGTCCTCGTGTTCGTCGGCAATACCACTCGGATTGTGAATGCGCGGCTGCCTTTTGAACCGTCGTCGTCGCCGGCGTTCGTGGAGTTGAGTGTCGTTGCCGGTTTGTGGTTCAAGGTTCGTAGATAGGTGGATGGATGGACGGATGGGGGGTCGCGACGGGCAGGAGAAAGAAAAAATCAAGGTGAGCGCTCGGTGAGTCGGCGGCCCCACATCCACCAACCGGCTCGGTGTGGGAGTGGAGGTTCCATGCTACACCGAGCGTAAGGCTGCCTGGCTGGCTGGTGGGGGGAGGGGAGGGGGAGGACCCTTGTGGCTGGGGATGCTCTCCCGTCTCGAGTCCCGAGGGTCCGACAGCGAGGTTGTGCTTGTCGGTGTGCGATGAGCGTGCGCAGGCAGATACATCGCAGGAAGGATGGTATGTTCAAATGAATTAGTCTTCAGTGCGGCACTGTAATTGTTCGCAAGGAGCGGCGTCTGGTGTCGATGGGGCGCTATAAGTCCGCTGTTGCGTGCCACCTAAGTACCTTACACCATTCGTCTGCCACCATGGAACGACCATCATCATCATCACGTACGAGCCTCATGAGCAACTCAGCCCCTTTCGCAGCTAGTAGTGCTCACGGCCTCTTCACCTCCCACAGCTTCCCGTCAAGCTAAAAACCGCAGCGTCCAATCGCCACCCCTCGCACAAGTCCACACCGCGAGTTACATCCATACATCCATCCATCCATGGATTGGTACGAAGTAACTTACAGGCTGGAACCCACCCGCGCCGGCACTGGAAGTTAGGCCCAGTGCCCTAACCTTGCATCAACAGCCAGTGGCCGCCCGCGCACCAGCCACCAATACCGCTAGGTACCTACCTCGCCTTATAATCCAGCGCGCCCAGTCTCAGCCACGACGGCCCGCTCCAGCGACTTCGCACCATCAGCGCAGCTTCCATCCATCCATCCCCCCCCCACTATCGTCATAGCTGCCTGCCTCGTGCACGCATCCCATCCGCTCATCCATCCGCTCATCCATCCGTACATCCATCCGCGCGACTCCCACCCGAGGCAGTCATCCCATCTCATTCCACGCCCCGACTTGCCGCTCACACACCGGGGGGTCTCAAACGCTGTCTCTCTCTCGACCTCACGCCGTGTCATTCGTTGTCCCTGTGCGGTGTCTGGTGTGGAGAGTCTCGCTTGAATCGTCGTTGGCTGGACCCCGTCAGGTCAGCGTGCGCGCGCGCCCCTCAACACCAAGAGGGCCACCATCACCAACTCTTGTGGCTTCACACCTGAACGACCTACATAGTTCTCTTGCGACGCTGCCAGACAGCCACTCAACCGCCGAAATGTCGACCAAGCGCATCACCAAGGTACGCACCCCCATCGCTCCGTCCTGCCTCCCACATCCCACCTCCTCCCACCTCCCTCCCTCATCCCATCATCATTCCTCTCCATGCTAACCGTCTCTCCACATCCAGGAATTCGCCGAAGCATCCCAATCCCCTCCCCCCAACTTCTCCATCTCCCTCCCCCCCTCGCAATCCCTCCACACCTGGCACGTCGTCCTCTCCCCTCCCGCCCCCTCGCCCTACCACCCGGGCCGCTTCGCCCTCCTCCTCACCCTCCCCGCCGACTACCCCTTCAAGCCCCCGCAGCTCCGCTTCGCCACCCGCATCTACCACCCCAACGTCACGAATGACTCCCTCGGCAACATCTGCCTCGCCGTCCTCAAGCCCGACCAGTGGAAGCCCTCCACCAAGATCGCCGCCGTCCTCGACGCCGTCCGCAACCTCCTCGTCGAGCCCCAGCCCGATGACCCCCTCGAGGACCGCATCGCCGACGAGTTCCGCAACGATAGGGAGGCGTTTGAGAAGAACGCCAGGCTGCATACCCAAAAGTACGCCATGGGCGAGCCCACGTTTCCGCCTGCGCCGTGAGGGCTCCCGCGCTTGGAGGGCTGGACCGGCGCTCGGGATGGGACTTGGTTTGGGATCGAAGCGCTGGGAATGCGCGCTGGCCGTGGACGCCCGCGGCCATAACGGCATAAATCTACTTGGAACTGTTGGAGTGGTCGATACGTCTCGATCCTCTACATGGGGTGGTGGTTGAAACGGCCGGCACATGACGAGGGTAGACGGAGTCGCAGAGCATGACACGCCATAAACAGACATATCCACTCAAAGTGTCGTGGGCATCAACCTAGCTGAGCACAGCACATAATTGAACATTGTCCCCCGCTCGTCGTCCAACTGCATCCGTGCCTGCCTGCCCCTCATGCGTGCCCGTCATTACGCCCCCGTCGAGAGGCCCGTCGAGCGGGCTAGCCATATACTCCGGTTCCTCTATCCAAGGATTTTTACATGTCCGTGTCCGTCTATGCACACCAGAACTCGCTCAAAGCAAAATATGTCCCCAAGCTCTCCAGCCATCTGTCTCGCCCGGCAGATGCTGCCGGGTCCAAGCCGTCATCGTCGTAAGTGAATCGAGAAGCGAACGTGTCCCGTCCCCAAGTGTTCTTAACCGGGCGCATGCAATGCGGGGAAAACCAAGGAAACCAGTGCGTGCAATGTCGTGAGCCTCAGACGCGGCCATCGTCCCGCGCGTCGCTCCCAGCGCCCGGCGGTGCCTGCGGCGCGCATGTATGTGAGTGTAAAAGAGACGGGGCGGTGCTCGCCCCGTAGAAGAATTAGGTATCAAGTCCCATCTAGGGTTCCACGGCATGTGCTGCTAGATCTCTGCAGGCCGCGGCATCGAAGCGTCCCCGCGTTTCTTGCTGAAAATGGTGCCCTTGCGGAGCATCGGTCTCTCTCCGTCCGTCGTGGCACCCGTGGCTGTCGCGCCTCGAAGCTGCTGCACCTTTTCCTGGTGCGCCTTGTCGCGGCGCTCTTGGCGGCGCTCGTCGATCGTGCCCTGACTCAGGTGGCCGAATCCGTTGCGCCGCTTGAAACACGTCTCCATGAGCGCATTCGCGTCCAACATGCGCCGCGGGAGCGTCTGCACCACGCCAAACATCTCCATCGGATCCGAGACGGCCCTAATCTCCGACTCGCCAGTCTTGAATATGGCCAGCGCGATGCGGAAAAGCGTCTTGGATCCTTCGTAAAAGAACACGTCCCACACGCGGAGCGTTGTCTCGATGGGCAGGGTCCCAATGTAGCAGCTCATGAACCACGCCGTCATGCACAGCGTGATGGGTGGCAGCCGCTCCGTCGAGAGGCTGGTCTGGTCGCGACGCTTGATGAGCGGAATGGTGGCCTTGCGAATCGATTTGCTCGTCCCTGGCCGCGGTCCGGGAGCACCGTCCAGCTCGCTCCCAATCTTGTCCCACACGGCCGGCATCGTGTCTCTCAGCTCCGTCATCAGGACGCCCAGGTCCACCTTGGAGCCCTCGAGGCTCATCTCGTGCGTCCCCGGAAGGTAGATGATGGTGATGACGTTGAGCAACCAGAAGCACTGCTCCTCCGTCTCCACGAAGAGCAGAAGCATGCCTGCCAAGAAGTTGAGGCTCTGACAATAACCAATGCGTGGATTGTACACGGCAAAAGCATGCAACACCCGACGCAGAGAGGTGATAATAGGCGGTTCGCCTTCCGAGCCCGGTGGTCCGCGATGGCCGCTTTCGCCGGATGTCGAGCCAGTCGTGGTTGAGCGGCTCGCCCTGTCGCTGCTCGACGACGCATCAAACCGCGATGAGGGCTTGAACTGAATGTTGTCGGGAAAAGTGCGGTGCAGGTCCCGCTCAATGGCTTCGACGTCGATCTGCTTGGCGTTCGTGGACAGGAGCTTCTCGTACAGACCGGAGTGCTTGGCCAGTATGGCCGGGCCTCCTGCATAGTAGAACCACGCAGCGCCGCGCCAGTCTGGCGGGATGCCCTTGCGCACGAATCGTTTCGTCTTTGCATTGGGCGGCGGGAAGCGAATCGGCCGGTCCGTCATGAGCGCACAATCCTTGAGGTAGGAAACCCACTTCTTGCGCCTGCGGGCAAGGTATTGGGAGTAGTCCTTGTTCCACGCGTCGTATTGTTGTCTCGTGATGAATTGGTTCTGCTTCTTGAAGCCGTATCGGTCGCGGGACCCGGGGTCTTCGGGCTCCACAGGCAACAGAGGCACCGGGGACGGAGAGGGTGAGGGTGACGGCGCGGGTGACGGCGCCCGAGAGATTGCCGGGGAGGGCACGGGAGAAGCAACGTCGGAGGTCATGGCCATGAAGACGGGCTTCATGGCGCCGGTTGGTGCCGAGCCAGAGAGCGCTGAGCGCTCCGAGTCGAGTGACTTGGCCGAGTCTCGCTTCTCGGGGACGTGGGAGTCGGCACTGCCGGATATGGCGGGGACCGAAGACGTAAAGTCTGGGCTCGTGAATATCATTCTGGATTGCCGAATCTCGGCATCCAGCGTCGAGCGGACGTTGGAGATGGACGACTCGGGGTCGATGTCGGCGGGCTCCTCGACCAGGACGCCGGCTTCGGGTTCCTCGGGCGTCGAGAATTCGGCCGCGTCAATCACCGCGTCGCGAGCAGCCGAGTCGGGGCTGGAGGCGTCGACCGCGTCAATTGTATCGGTCGCGTCTGGCTGGTCGTAGTCGTTGTCGTCCTCGTCCTCGTCCTCGTCATCGGCAAAGCCCTTTTCGTACATGCCCATAACATCTTCCAAGCTGGGCTCGTCGTTGGGGTCGAGCGAGGCGACCGAGCTGTCCTTTGTAAGAACGCTACTGCGCTCGGTCGCAGCCGTGCCAGGAGCTGACGAGGCAGTGAGTTGGGATCTGAAACTGGAACGCAGCTCATCCCCGGCGAGCCAGGGTGGTGGCGCCCCACCAGCGCCGGGGGATGGCGCGGAGCTGTCAGCACGGCTGGGCGCGAAGGGGGGCCGAGCCCCCGTCAGGGGAGGCCCAGTAACGTGCCTGGGGCGAGGAGGCCGAAACTCAAACGACTCAGCATTGACCGGCGGGCGCGGCGACGAAAACGTCGACAGAGACCTGCACGACGACGCCGAGGGGCGCCGTGGCTGCTGCTGCCAGGGCAGCGGAGTCTGGGGGCCCTGCTCCTGCAGCGCAGGGTTGGGGGCGGTGGTGGTGGTGATGGCGGTGATGGATGGCTTGTTTGCCAGGGGCCGGACGGCATGCTCCGACGACGCAGCGGCGTACTCGGGGTAGACTGCGGTCTGGCGGACGATGCTCTGCTTCCGGGGCCGGGAGAAGTTCTCGACGACAACACCGCCGCCGCCGCCGCCGCCGCCGTCTGCAAGCCGCAGGTCGGCAAACGACGACTTGGCCGTGAGCGGCACGGGCGGCGACCCGCTGCGCGGTGACGGAGTGCCGGTCAATGCGTCTCTTGGAGACGGTATTGGCCCGACTCCGGCCCGCATGGGTGAGGCAACGGGCGGGGCCATGGGCTGATGGGATAGAGGGTCCCGGGGAACGTCGTATGGTGACGGAGAGCTTCTGGAGGAGGTCGAGCCGCGGTTGACCAGATGGGCCCCGTTGGAGAGCGAGTCCCAACGGGGGGAGGCGGGCAACGGCGGGAGGTCGGGCAGCCGCGGGACTCGCCCCGCGTTGGGTCGGTCGAGGGCGAGCGGGGTGACGCCGGGCTTGATGCGCGAGGCGTAGAGAGAGACCTGGCGGTTGCTGCCGCTCCGGGGGCGCGTGATGCGGCCGTCGTCGGGTGGTGTGATGGCCATGGCCGAGTTCATGGTGCTCGAGCCTCCACGTCGGGCTTGTTGGTCGCAGGGCTCGCGGGGGTTTGGCTGGGAGGGCGAGTGTGCCGTGGGCCTGCCCCCCAGTGTTTGAGACAAGGGCTGGCAACTTCAGGACGGGGGGACGATGCAGCTGCAGCTGCCGCAGCGTCGTCGGCGGTCGAGGTGTAGCGACTCGGGTTTCGACAGGATGCCTACGGAGCAACGGGCCATTTCCTCGCAGAAGCGGTGGTGGGAGATGTGGGCGAGTCGGTGAGGCGCGATTTCGGACGGAAACTCAGGTCATCTGCCGCCACGGAGGGTAGGCAGGTCGTCGGCCGTCGAGGCTGTCGAGGCGAGAAAATTCGAGAATGTAAGTAGGCGAGGGAAAGAGAGGCGGCAAGTCGTGCCGGTCGGCGGATCGAAGGAGCGTTCGGATTTGGGATTCGTAGAAGCAGCAGGTCGAGGTTCGACATCCAAGGAGGGGCATTCGCAATGGCGAGTGAATCAGGAGCGATGGAAGGCTCGTGGCATGAAGCCGAAGTGCGTCGAGGTTTGGGGTGGCGCTTCCAGAAACGGCGTGGAAAGTGTCAGATCCGATCCAGCTGCAGGCTCTTCCTCGGGGGCGGCCGTTGTGTGACGCGTGAATGGGAGGATGAGGAGCGGGATTGCAGGAGCAGGCTCGCCCGCATGTAACTGTCGAGACTTGAAAAAAAGGGTGAAGAAGCAGTCGTCGTGGCGTCGTCGTCGTCGTCGTGGGCGAGGAGGGAGAAACCGGTTCTCGGCCAGATTGAAGTCCAGAGCTCACAAAAGTTGGGCTTCCACCTGAATGAATGCTGACGCCGCTCAGGTATCCGTAAATAATAAAGCGCTACCGGCGCCGCTGCTGTGGATTACCCTTGGCTTGGGCAGGCTGTCGCTGGGGATCGGCGAGGGGATCCGCCGGCATCCAAGCGAGGCACGCGGGCAAACAATTTGGACGGCTGGAATGTCCACTGCCGACAGCTCGGCCTGGCGGGATTCGCTCGTTGTCGCTGCTGCTGCACGGGTCGGGCGCAGCACCTCATACGCCGCAGGCAAGCACGCAACGCACCTAACCGCAGTGCAGTGCTGCGCAGCGCGGCTCGGCTCTCAAACGAAGATGCAGGAGAGCAGGGCAGGCGTGCCTGGTCGGGGGGGCTGCGGGAGGCGAGTTTTTTGCAGTGCAGTGCAGCAGGAGGAATCGGGGAGGAGAAGGACGGGAGGGACGAGATCAGGTGCCGTTGATGAGGGCGAGAACCTGAAAGAGGAGGGAGCCGCGCAGCTCCAGCAGATCGACGCTGCCCGCCCGCCCGTGTGCCGTCGCGTCCAACCGTCCAGGCGGCGGCGGCGGCGGCGGGCCAGTGAGGTGGGCAGCGCCTTTGATGACGGCACGACACCCGACGACACAGCGGAGAGGCACCACCACCACCACCAACAGCCTGTAGAGAGCGCGAACAGGCTCCATCCCCGCGAGCCAGCTCCCCAGGGCCAATCCGCTCGCAGCACCTCACACTTTTTTTTTTCATTGCATTTGCCAGTGCAGCAGCCCCCTCGCTGGACCATCAGAAAAAAACAGGCCACATACGACCACCCCCAAACCATCCGCCGCAGGGGAGAAAAAGGAAGCACCACACGCTGGACCCATTCACAGATGGGGGGACGATGGCCCAGCACGGGAGACATTGGAGCCAGCCGGCCAATCGCGGCATCGCGCCTGTCCCTGCCGGGCGCAGGGCGCTGAGTCGCTCCCGGGAAGGCCCACAGCGCCTGGTGGGCCGCAAACCGCCAGACGGGCTGCGCTGGCTGGGGGCGGCCTGTCGTGACGCGCTCAGCACAGCATGGAAGGCGCTGCAACGTCCTGTAGGAACAGTGCCTTGCAGCCGACCGGTCAGGCAGGTTCAACAAGGTTTCCCAGGCCGTTTCGCCGTCTCCACCCACTGGAAAAAGGGTGCATCCTCGTCTCCAACTCTCTCTCGTCACGCTGCTCGCCCCTGAGGTCTTGCCCTCCGTCATCTTGCAAGCGGAGCCTGCAAGGCACTGCACTCCGTAGGTTTAACATGCAAACGCAATTCCAAGACACTGCGCGAGTCCATCAAAAAATCCTGCAGCATCCGGCCACAATGCTCCAGCGCTCCACGGCGCAGCCCCGAGCCAGCGTCCCATCCCCCGATCCAATCTCGGGTCGATGCCCCTTTGGTGCCTGACAAGGACGCTAACGCGAGGGGCGCCAGGCACGCGCCTGGTCGCTCTACCTCTGCCGCCCGCCCGGCGCCAACGGGCAGCGCTGTACCGGGGACATGGGGCCCCCCAACGGACCCATCCATGCAGGTGTGCAGCGGCTTCGGCGTGCGTTCCGCGCTATTGCCCGCCGGCGCCAGGAACCGCTGCTGCCCTGGAGGCCCGGCATCCCGCCTGGGCAGCGCCCATTGTGCAAACCTGGAAAACTCGACTCGAATGCGGTACGGGAAGCCACCAATTTTCTTTCCCCTCACTCCATCCTCCTCCGCGCCTCCACCCACACCCACGATCCGCCCCGAATGCCTCTTCCTCCTCCAGCAATTACAATAAGCTTTGCGACTTGTTACTTTGCCCCATGGTCGCGCGCGTCGCCGTCTTTCGTCGGCCGGCGTCAGCGGTGCATCGATTCATCCGGCCACCATTGTGTCGCGATATCGTCCTGGTCTCCTCATCTCCTGAATACCTTCGCTTGGGTTCGTTCGCCTTGACTCGCAAAGCCAGCGGTACGGCCCGGTGCCATCGAGACCATGGTGATCCCCGAGTCAGGCACTCCGTACCATCGCCAAAAGCACAGGCCGTACATACGTATTCGTCCTACAATGTGCGCTGATCACCGCCAGCTTTGGGCTGTTCCCCGGGCCCTCCCTTGTGTTCCGCCCCGGGCCATCCGTCCATCTGGACGCCGTGATGCTGTGGCGGCCATGCCCGCCGACCGTTCGACAGACGAGGCATGGACGACGGACGTATCGTGATTCTAGAGTGTCACGATCCCTGCTCTGCTCGCGTGGCGCGGCCAGGCCCTGCGCGCTGCCCAATTTCCCGGAACGACCAGGGCCCTGGCCCGTCTCCCTTGATGTGAGTTTGTTTGCATGGGCTCCTCGCGCGCTTGGTGTCAGGTCCAGCTGGCGCGCATGATCGCAAGGCGACGCGATTCACGGACGAATCCCACCTACGGCCGAGAAGGTGGTGCGGCGGATGCATCTCCGTGCTACACTGTAGCACGACTGCGCTCCACTGCTTCGTACGGCGCATTGCTTTTCTCCCGACAGGCCGGCGTGACGTTGAGACATGAGATGCGATTCATTACCGCCCATCACCAACAAGCGCCAGCTTGCGGTTGGCTCTCGGAGAAGCAGACAGGATGAACCTCTTGGCTCCGTCGTTCGATCGGCATTCAACAACAACAACTCCACGCATTGCGGCCATGAAGCCACTCGGCCAAACTGTTCTGGCCCCCTGGCCGTTGAACGAACTATCAAGTTGCAAAAGTCGCAACACATGACGTTCACGCATGCAGGGGTTTGATCTGGCGCCCAATATGACAGCTGCCGCCGTTTCACCGTGCCGAGTCGGGTGGCCGTCGACCGCATCGGGCCTGGCTGGGGCTCTGTTGCGCGGCCTGTGCCTTGCCCGACTCTTGCGCTTTGACTGCGACCCCATCGGTCTGCATCGCCAGATGCACGCGCGCGCAAGAGCTGCATCTCGACCGGCGTCACGCCCAGGCGCAGCGCTGCACGCAATGCCCATTACGCACCGATGAGACGACGGACTGCTACGGTGCATGCGCGGCACAGATGCTTCTCCTGGGCCTCGCAGCACGTTGACCTGAAGGATGCGGAATGGTTGCGTCCGAGCAACCTCTGAATTGATGCTTCCCCTCGCATCGGGCATTCTCATTCGACAATTGGCCCATGTGCATGTAAACGACCGTCCCTGCCGCCCCTCCGTCTCCCATCAAGCTCTCCCAGCGCGCCGATCACACACACCAATCAATCAGTAATCAGTCAGTCGCGCAGGCCGTCGTCGCTCTCCCTTGGTTTCCCCACGGTCTCATCGCCTCCGGGGTCGACATCGAGTTCGCATCTCAGACCTCCATCTCGAGCAGGTCTTGGTCCTGTCTCGGGCCACTTAGACTTGTGCAGATCGTCAACACCCGCAGCGCGAGCGACCAAAACAAAGCAAAGGGACAACACCACCTCGCCAAAGGGGTGCAGCCAGTCCCCGTCCGCCGTCGACTGCTTTCAGCTGGCCGCTTCTCTTGGTTCTGCCTCGAACGCACCGCGATGCCCAAGCGCTGCCTTGCTATGCAAACATCAGGCATACGGGCTCTGTGTTGACGTCAATGTACAGCTGCTGTCTCAGTCCCCAATGCAGACCCCTTACGGCGCGGGGCGCGGGTTCCTTTGGACGCGTTCGCCCGCGTTGTGTGTGTGGCCGCGGCTTTCATTGCCCTGTGCTTGCTCCTTTATGTTGGAGTTGTGGGCTTTGTTATGACGGGACGCCTGCAGCTTCGCATCGTCTTTGACACGGTCCCTTGCCAAAGGTCGAGCAAGGTTTGGACGCCTCACCTTTGTGGTAAGCCCGTGAGTGACCCCATACGTATAGCCACCGGGAGCTTTGTATAGCCACCGCCGGAGTGGCGTCTTCTAGCTCGTTGATCCTGGTTCCTGATGAGTTTCGACCGCCGGTGACTGCACAACCGCTCCAGCCATGTCAGAGCCATCCTTGTTGTCCAGGGGCGCGTCTTTGGAATAGACTCAAGGTCCTTGGAAGATAATGCCATGCCCGGATTGTGAGATTGATGGCTGTCACCGTGGGAGACGATGCTTCAAGATTGCTACCCTGTACCTTGATCGTGTTTGCCATTGCCACCTAGTCTTCCATGTCGAAGGGACAGTTGGCGAAGTGGCATTGCCATCTTTTGCAGGGTAATGCTGTAAGTAGTGTCCCGAGCCGCGTCTGCCAGGGGCGATGCGTTCGTCTGGCTCTTGGTGCCATTGGATGCGACCGCGCCCTAGAGAGGGCATCTCCAGCGAAAAGTGAAGAGCGCAAGGGCGCCTTGCGTGGGCTCTTCTGAGCATCCTTGAGCGTTACAGCTTTGGAAATGTAGCTGGCTCTCGTGCGAATTCGAGCAGCGAACGACAATTGCCATGCATTGATCGTAACACTGTGACCCATCGCGATGACACGTCCGTTACCATCCATACACAAGGACCGCCTCCTGCATCACGACTGCGACAAGGATGCTTCCTACCCGTGGTCAATGCCAAGTTAGTCCAACGATCGGACGGCAACGGGGCCGAGATGCCCAAGCGGTTGAGTCGGTTTGAGTTGTAAGGTGAGGTTCGCGGTGCAGGGTAGGTTGATATGCGGCGGGGACTCGGGGGCAGTTGACCGTGGATGCTCGCGGCGCATACATGTCGATGGCCGAGGAGCATGACGCGAATCGCCGGCCGGCTTTTGGTGAGATTGAATGGAGGGGGTATGGAGGGAGGGAGAGAGATGTGGTGGGAGTTGGGCAGTTGTTTGTCGATTGTTGGTTGCCTGCGACACCCTCCTGTGACTATGATGAAGAAACACCACATCTGTCTCGCGACTGATAGCTGAAGAATAATCCAAAGAGATGCCAGGGTACTCCAGAGGCGGAGAGGATTCTCGTCAGGAATACAGCATAAAAACTCTGTATGTATGACAATCCTAGATACACCGTCTTCCTGCGCGTGCTGACATCCACGTTCGTCTCTGGAGCTAGATGCTGTCACTCAACTCGTATTGATCTCATCCAACGACTGGCCAGACACAGTAACCCTTAGTCTCTGCTACAGGTCTGCTCATCCTTTTGGCTGAATTACTGGATGGGCTGGAAGAGTTGTTGATGGGCGGGGATGCGGGTGGTCGTTCTGGCACTCAAGTTCGTTGTGGTGATGCGATAGCGGTGGCGGCGGTGAAACTACATAAGCAGAGAGACGGAAGGTGCAGCGCTGTATACGCGCCGTACTGGTACTGGTTGAGATGGCGAAGTGAAGATATATATTTCGCCGAGAGGCTGCAGATTGGTGAGCTGTATCTACGAAGCTCCGCCCTCAAGAGGTATGAGAGCTACGATGCTGTTATAGCGCCCCCTTGAATACCCTATAGTGCACCGATGGGCCATGAATGTCCAAAGGAGAGTTGACAGAATGCTTCCCGGGTCTCTCTGTGCCTAGCTGCGACAACACGCTCTAACTGAGGCCCGGTAGGAACACACGTCTCGTGTCTACCTTGCAGCACAACAGGGGGGCTCATGTTGGCTGCCAGTCGCCAACGACGAATGACGAGGAGCCGAGCGTCTAGAAGAGGCAAGCGACGCAGCTCCGCCGCGCAAACACAAGGCACAGCAAGCGAGGGCAATGACTGGCAGAACATGCAGGCCATGCGAGATTCCGTCTGCGCGTGCGTGCAAGGCGCGTGTTCCTGCACAGCACAGAGCCCAACGGGCAACATATGGCCAATGCCAAGTGGTTTGTGATGGGACAGAAACCGGGGGTTCGGTCGCATTATGGGTCTGGTGCGGGTCGGCGCCCAGTTGCCGGGCCCGATCGGCGATGCGCTATGGGGGGCTTTTTCATGGGGGACGCATGAGGATTCGGGGAGCGAGCAACTTGCAAGGCGCGCGGATTCGGCAGCTTCGGACTGGGTGGTGCGAGAGCCGCCGGCCAAGGGGGCAGCAGCAAGCTGTCGTTGTTGTTTACATGTCTTGGTTGGAGTTGGACTCTTGTTTACTTGAGGAGTGTTGTCTGGTCAAGGGAGGGAATGAACGGGATCACGGAGGCTCGTAAATCCGGGATTGCGAACGGGCGGGAGTGGGCGCAGATGCAGGGCAAGAGCGCGGATCGTGCCATTCCACGTGATCCGGTCACTGATTCCAAGCTGGAAGCCAAAGGCGCTCGTCGCCGCCTTGCTTCGCTGCTGATCCGTGACGAAAAGTCCGCCAGGCGGAAAAGGAAGAAAG